CCAGAGAGAAAGACACTCTCCTCTTTTAAAGCCCTCAGAACCATGCCCCGACCACTATTTTTAATCCATTCACTACTGCACGGTCCTACAATCCAATCACCTCTTCAAGGCTCCACCTTTCAATTACCATAATAGGATTTCCCACCCTCTTAACAGTCACAGTGGGGGCTAAGTTTCTAATACATAAAACTTGGCGGATACAATTCAAGCTTCAATGAGTTTTGAGGGGGACATAATTCAATCCACTACAAGGTCTCTCTTCACAATTACCATATATTTGCATGGGGTGCTGCCTGTGTTTCTATGTGGCATGTTAATTTGGATAAGCACAGATCACTCTATCATATGGCCATTTGCACACAACTCTACCCATGGATTAATTTCAGCATGCTTACTTGTGTAAAGCAACACCAGACAAATCCAGGTCTAATCTAATGCCCATCCTGACTCTAAATTAGACTGTTAAATTTGCATAATAAGCTCTGCAGGACCACTCCCCAATAAACATATCACTTTTGTCCTTATTAGCATTTCATTTGCATAACACACCTACTTCATAATTTTAAAGTACTGGCACCCCTCTACCTCCCCGGGCCTTCATTTTCCTGCTGTCTGCTTATGCCCCTCCTTTGTGGTCCTCCTCTCGCTCCCACCCAGCTCCTCACCAACCACTATGAGCGGTGTTGGAAGTACTACTGCCTCCCCACCGGCTGGGCCAACTTCGGGGTCACTTCGGAGGAAGAGCTACACCTCACGCGTAAACTCTTCTGGGGCATCTTTGACTCTCTGGCCCATAAGGTCTGGGCACCAGGGAGCCCCAAAACAATCCTCTGTGGAGGGTGTGGGGCCCAAAGTTGGGAATCCAAAATGAAATCCCCAAATTTGGGGGACTCGGGGAGGGAGGCAGTTCTGCATGTTTGAATCTAGAAGAGTCTATGGGCTGAGGCTTCAGTTTGGGGGTTATGGAACAGGAGATGGGCCTCTAGTTTGGGGGCTGGGAGAGGAGTAATTTGGGGGAGATTTGAGGGTCCAGTTGGGTCTGAGGTTCTAGCTTCAAGGAGAGGGACCATAAATCAAAATTTGGGGTTCATGGAGGAGGGGTGATGATTGGGGAGTATGAATTTGAGGTCCTGGGGCCCAGGGGTTTGAAAGCTCAGTGAGGCCTGCAGTGACTTCCTCCCGTCACCCTGCCCCTGGTATCCCTAGAAGTACGACCCGGAGCTGTACCGCATGGCCATGCCTTGTCTCTGCGCCATCGCAGGGGCCCTGCCCCCAGACTATGTGGATGCCTCATACTCCTCCAAGGCCGAGAAAAAGGCCACAGTGGATGCTGAAGGCAACTTTGATCCCCGGCCTGTGGAGACCCTCAAGTGAGGCCTGGGGGGATGTGGGGGGTGAGGTTTGGGGCTGGATGAAGGAAAGAAAAGTTTCTGGGTGGAGGGAGGCCCAGCCCCAACAGCTGCTGACCTATCTCCCCAATAGTGTGATCATCCCGGAGAAGCTTGACTCCTTCATTAACAAGTTTGCAGAGTACACACACGAGAAGTGGGCCTTCGACAAGGTTAGCATCAGGGTCCTCCTTCCCCAGGAACCCCCACTCCTGCCAGCCTTCCTCAAGACCTCAGCTTTCCCCAAGTCCCAGGTCTTCCCTAAGACCCTAGCTTTCCCTGGGACCCCCAGGTTTCTCTGGAACCCTCCGCTCCTCCGGGTTTCCCTCTCTGTATCTCCCAGGCTGCTGCCTACCCCTTATTCTGCCTCCACCCGTCCCCTCTCTACCTCTAGATCCAGAACAACTGGTCCTATGGAGAGAACATAGACGAGGAACTGAAGACCCACCCTATGCTGAGGCCCTACAAGACCTTTTCAGAGAAGGTGACCGAGCCTTGGGACCCAACATTGGGGGTCAAAATGAACCCCCCAAATTTGGGGTTCCAGGGAGGTTTGGGGTTCCAGGGAGGAGTGAGGCAGCTTCATAGGTTTACATCCAGGTGGATCTGTGGGTTAGGGCTCCCCATCCATGGACTTTGCCTTCTCTGAAACTCGGTTGCCTCTGACAGGGGACCCCAGTCTCCTAGTGTTCCTTCTCAGAAAGACTCAGGGAGTGGGTCTGATTCCTTGACCATAAGACTTGACTTCTCTGAGTCATGTGTAAAATGGGATAAGGAGAGTTTGTTTAGTAGGCTCTGTTACAGAGCATGTAGGAGGCCAGGGCTTGGATGTGGACTGGATCACTTCCCAGCCACATGGTTGGGATTTCACCTTCTTGGGACCGTGCAGGCCAGTGAGGCTGAGCCGGGGCTCCTTCTTCCATCTTCCTCTCGCCCCATCCCGCCAACTCCCCACCTCCTGTCCACCCCAGGACAAAGAGATTTACCGTTGGCCCATCAAGGAGTCCTTGAAAGCCATGATTGCCTGGGAATGGACTATAGAGAAGGCCAGGGAGGGTGAGGAGGAGAAGACGGAGAAGAAAAAGACACGGAAGATATCACAAAGTGCCCAGGTAAAGTCAGGGCCTGGGCAGAGGGCAGGGTCACAGGGGTGGTGGTGAGGGTCTAGAGTAAGGGGCGGGGTCCCGGCACTGGGTGGGGTTGAGAGGGGAGAGGGGCCTAGGGAGGTGGGGTCAGGAGAAGGGGCTAGGCTAGAAGAGGGGTGCAGAAGTCTGAGATCTGGAAGGAGACGGCATGGGTTTGAAGAATTGCAAAGGGCAGAGGAGAGAAGGACAGTGTGATTTAGGGAAAGGGGGCCTTAAGCACAGGACACAGAGGAGGGGTCTTGGGCCAGGGGAGTGAAGGGGGTAGAATGGACTGGAGTTGGAGCCTGGAGGAGGGGCTGGCCTGGGTTTCATGCTAGCCCAGCAAGTCCCTTATCTCCCCCTTGTCCTCCCAGACCTACGATCCGCGAGAAGGCTACAACCCCCAGCCCCCGGACCTTAGCATAGTTACCCTGTCCCGGGAGCTACAGGTGAGACCCCTGATCCTTTATTTAGGGGTATGGGTGTGTCTGTTGGGGAGGGGGTATCCTCTGAATATGGTCATTGACTCTTTGCATCCACTTCCAGGCCATGGCAGAACAACTGGCGGAAAATTATCATAACACGTGGGGGCGAAAGAAGAAGCAGGAGCTGGAGGCCAAGGGTGAGGGTGCCCATCCCACCCCACACAGCCCCTTTTCTCCGCAGTCCCCTGGTCATAGGCTCCAGAGTCACAAGGGCCTAGGTTAGAGTCGTGGCTTCGCCGTGTGACTTTGAACAATTGCTTTCTGAGACTCAGCTTCTCCGTCTGCAGAATGGGAATCACAGCGTTTACCACGGGAGGGTTGTGGTGAAGGTGTGACAAGCATCAGAGCAGTGCTTCCGTTATTCTTATGTCCATATTGCTTACTGTAATCATGCACGCCCTCAGCTGCAGGTGCAGGAACCACTTCAGTGAGAGTGGCCCGGCTCCTCCCCAGCCCCTGCTTTCTGATCTCTGCCCCCCAGGCGGTGGGACTCACCCCTTGCTGGTCCCCTACGACACGCTCACGGCCAAGGAGAAGGCGCGGGATCGAGAGAAGGCCCAGGAGCTGCTGAAATTCCTTCAGATGAACGGCTACGCGGTCACTAGGCAAGCGGGCTGGGAGCCCCCAGATCGCTGCAGGGAACGTGGGCGGAACCCGCGGGGCAAAGGCGGGGAGAGGCGGGGCCAGAGTGGGAGAGGCTAAGAGGGGCGGAGCCTGGGGTAGAGGCGGGGCCAGAGAGGAGAAGAGGCTAGGAGGGGCGGGGCCTGAGGAGCAGAGGCGGGGCCAGAGAGGAGAAGAGGCTGGGAGGGGCGGGGCCTGAGAAGCGGAGGCGGGGGCGGGGGGGGCCCGGGGGGGNGGCCGGGGGTGGCCTGGGGAGGGGAGGCGCGCTCAGAGTGGGGCAGAAGCTGGCAGAGGCAGCGCCCTGAGAGGAGAGCAGACCGAGAGGGATGGGAAACCGGGCAGGGCCTGTGTCTGGGCTGACTCCTTTCTCTGCCTCTCCACACAGAGGCCTTAAGGACATGGAACTGGACTCGTCTTCCATTGAGAAGCGGTTTGCCTTTGGCTTCCTGCAGCAGTTGCTGCGCTGGATGGACATTTCCCAGGAATTCATCGCCCACCTGGGTACGGAGAATTCCCTCCCCGATGCCCTCTTCGTCTGCGGAAACCAGTTCCTCAGACCTGACTTACCTAGGAAGCCAGTTCACCCGGTTCTCCCTCCTTCCCTCATCTAATGTTTATTGAGCCTTCGCTGTGTGCCAGACACTGTCATAGATGTTGGGGAAACAGCAGTGAACAAGACAAAATTCTGCCCTTTTGCAACTACATTCTTGTGGCAGATTCAGACAATTAACATCCTGAATAACCAAATCATTTAGTATGTTAGAAGGTGGTTATGGGAAGAAAAAGCAATAGACACAGGTAAGGTGGATTGGAAGCCTGAAGCCGATTGTAATTTTAAGTAGAATATTCATGCAAGACCTTGATGAGAATGTGGCATCTGAGCAAGACCTGAAGGAGGTGAGCGAGGACCTGTGTGGACATCAGGGGACATCTGTTTCTTCTAGACAGAAGAACAGAAAGTGCTAAGGCCCTGGGAGGTCCCTGGTATGAGTTTTAGGTTGCCTTGAGGACGAAGCAGAGTGATTCAGGGGGACAGTGAGAGGAAATGGGGTCAGAGAGGTAAGGGGGCAGTTCATGTAAGGACATGGTGAGGACTTTATCCTTTACCCCGAGGCAAATGGAGCCATGGGAGGACTCTGAGCATTGGAGGGATGTGACCTGACTCAGGTGTTCACAGGGTCCCTCTGGCTTGACTATGGTGGGGGCAGGAGCAGGGAAGGGTGAGAACTAGGCAGATTCTGTACATATTTTGAAGGCTGAGGCTTTTGGGATGCCCCCTGGATGCCTGTACCACTAAGAATCAAAGCAAGGGACCATCCAATTCCTTTCAATTTCCCCCAGAGACCGCCAGCATTCCCCTGGAGAGCCACCCTCAGGAATCCCCAAATTCCAGGGTGGCTGGTTAGCTGAGTTGGTTAGAGCATGGTGCTGATAACTCCAAGGCCCAGGGTTCAATCCCTGTTCTGGCCAGCCACCAAAAAAAGAAAAAAGAGGAACCCCTAAATTCCTTTCCTTGAAGCCCGCATGCCTCTGTGCTGCACAGCCCTGGCAGTTCCCTCCCCTCTCTAAACCTCAGTTTCCTCATCTGTTCACCATAACCAGCCACGGTTCTGTCACTTGCTTGCTGGGTGACCTGGGGTGAGTTATTTCACCTGAGTTTCCTCATCCGTGCAATAGGAGAGGGGACCAACTGTACAGACCTCCAAGTTGGGAAGAGACTGTGCAGGGACAACATTTCTCACAGCACCAGGGACATAGCAACTGTTTAATAACTGGAGCCAGTATTATTATTTGAATAGTATATCACTATTGTTTGAAATTGATTTCCTTTTTTTTGGCCACTGGCCAGTTTGGGGATCTGAACCCTTGACCTTGGTGTTACAACACCGAATTCTAACCAACTGAGCTAACTAGCCAGCCCGATTCCCATTTTAAAATTAACTCTTATTTGTTTATATCTATGTGCTTCATTTGGTTCATTCATTCGTTCATTCATTCATTCATTCCAAATTTACTCAGTGCCAGATATTGAGGTTCAGAAAGAAAAGGGCTTGTGATGGGTGGTGAGGAGGGGGCTGTTCTTTGGCCTTACTCCATTCCAGTTTGTTCTCCTCCCCATTTTCAGCTTTCGAAGGGGTTTAATCAAGGAGTTAGGGAGACCAGATGAAAGGTAGGGGAGAAAGGTTTTTCTTGCAGCGCACGGAGGTGACTTCACGTGAAGAATTTATCTCTCATCTTTTCCTAACTGCCCCCAGAGTCCCTCCCATCAGAACACCCTGGGTTCCCCAGCCTTGAACCCACCACGACCTTAATTTGCCTTCCCCCACAGAGGCTGTGGTCAGCAGTGGACGAGTGGAAAAGTCCCCACATGAGCAGGAGATTAAATTCTTTGCCAAGGTGAGAGGTGGGCTCAGAGGCTGGAGGCGCTGCGGGCCGGGGGCGCGCTCCCCACGCCTCACCCAGCCCCCTCATCTCCTTTCCCCATCTCCAGATCCTGCTCCCTTTGATTAACCAGTACTTCACCAACCACTGCCTCTATTTCCTGTCCACACCCGCCAAAGTGCTGGGCAGTGGTGGCCACGCCTCCAACAAGGAGAAGGAAATGATTACCAGGTGGGTGGCCTGTGACCTCTGACCCAGCCCTCTGACCGCACAGGATTGTAATCCTGGACCCCTTGCTCCCAGTGTCGGCCCTTAGGGTTTCTGTCCTGGGTGCTGGGCACTGACCAACCATTCTGGGGTGACCAACCATTCTGTTCGCTTGGGACTGAAGGTTTCCCGGGATGCAGGACTCTCGGGCAAACTGGAATGAATCGGTCACCTTGTCAGAAGGGCAGACCCACCCACATCCCCCCAGCATCGCAGTTATTGCCTTGATTTTCAAGCTCGCCCGTCTCTCTGTCCCCTCTCCATCCCTCCTGTCTCCTTCATTTTCTTCCCCTCCCCCGACCTCCTCCTGGCTATGTCTTCTGCCCCCTCTCCTGTCTTCTCTGTCCCTGCCTCTTCTGCGTCACCGCTGCCCTTGTCTCCCTGGTCTCTTCACTCCCCGTTCCCCTCTTTCTGTACCTTTCTCTTTCTTCAGCCTCTTCTGCAAACTTGCTGCTCTTGTCCGCCACCGAGTCTCTCTCTTTGGTAAGTAGCTCTGCGCCCTGAGCCTTTCTCCCTAATCTTCTCTTTCTTCCCCTCATCACCAGTCCCACCCTGAAAAAATATTTCCCAGGTTGTGCCTTAATTTGAACAATGTTCATTATGTTCTTCCTCTGGATCTGGACATGGACTGGGTAGTCCTGGGGACAGGGCAGTGACTGAGACAGCCCTGGGTCCTACCTTCATGGAGCTCCCAGGCCAGTGGGAGGGACAGACTTGTCCCCAGATAGTGACAGCCCAAAGGGGTCAGGGTCAGGATGGAGAAAGGACAGGAGAGGGGTCTAGCTGTGATGAGGAAAGTTCAGGGGGCTGTGGAAGTCCAGGCAGGGGTGGGGTCAGGGAGAGAAGGGTTGGGGTGAGAGCAGAGGAAGGTACTGTCCCCGTAGCCCTTGCCTCACCTTAGCCTGTCCTGTGTTCCCAGGGACAGATGCCCCAGCTGTGGTAAACTGTCTTCACATCCTGGCACGCTCCCTGGATGCCAGGTAGGGTTGTAGGTCTGTCTAGTCATGCTCCCACTCCCAGACCCTGTTCTCCCAGACTCTCTGACATCTGGAATCTCAGATTCTGGAACTGGGGCTCCCCTGCTTCCCTCCTAGGACGGTGATGAAGTCTGGCCCTGAGATCGTGAAGGCCGGCCTCCGCTCCTTCTTTGAGAGCGCCTCGGAAGACATTGAGAAGATGGTGGAGAACCTGCGGCTGGGCAAGGTGTCCCAGGCACGCACGCAGGTGAAGGGCGTGGGCCAGAACCTCACCTACACCACCGTGGCCCTGCTGCCTGTCCTCACCACCCTCTTCCAGCACATCGCCCAGCACCAGTTCGGAGACGACGTCATCCGTAAGGGCTCCTGACCCTGAGGGTAGGGGTTGGGGAGTCAACGTGGCCAACACCACCCATCCCTGGGTCCCCAGGTGTTTGAGTGTGTGGATTTATTGCTGTAAGCAAAGCATGCAGCCAGTAAATTGATTAATTGTGTTCATTAGAATGAGTTAATTAGGATATGAGTTCAGCAGCTCTAACAAAAGACCCTAAATCACTATAGCTTCTGCCAGATAGAAGTTTCTTTCTTTCTCATGTAACAGTCTACTTGTAAGTGGATTTTCATGTCAGAGACCCAGGTTCCCTCCATCTTATTGCTCTGCCTTCCATGAAATATGATCATACACCGGTTAACCAGAGGGATATGTTCTGAGAAACGTGTCCTTAGGCGATTTCATCATTGCGTGAACATCACAGAGTGAACTTACAGAAACCTAGATGGTATAGCCCACTACACACCTAGGCTACATGGGATAGCCTATGGCTCCTAGACTTCAAACCTGTACAGCACGTTACTGTACAGAATACTGTAGGCAATTGTTAAACAATGGTATTTGTGCATCTAAACATAGAAAAGGTACAGTAATACAGTATAAAAGATAAAAAATGATACACCTAGATAGGGCGCTTAACACAGATGGAGCTTGCAGGACTGGGTGTTGCTCTGGATGAGTCAGTGAGTGAGTGGTGAGTGAATGTGAAAGTCTAGGACGTTACTGTACACACTGTAGACTTTGTAACCACTGTATGCTTAAGTTACACTAAATTTATTTTAGAAATTAAGTAATTGGGTTATGACATTATGACAGCTATGACGTCACTAGGTAATAGGAATTTTTCGGCTCCATTGTAATCTTATGGGACCACCATTGTATATGCGGTCCATCATTGACCACATGTTGCTATGCATGCATGTCTGTATTGCCTTTATCCACATGGTCCAAGATGCCTCTCCGTTACCTCCTCGTTCCAGCCAGTAGAGGAGGAGAAAAAGCAAAGAGGAGGGCACTTCGGCTCTTTTAAAGGAACAACCTAGAAGTGGTCCATATCACCTCTGCATATGTCCCATTGGCCAGAACTTAGCACATGGCCATGTGTTGCTGCAAGGGAAGCTGGGAAAGGAGCCTTTATTCTGGGAGGTCATGTGTTGAGCTAAATATTGGGGGTCTATTACTAGAAGGAAGAAAAGAGCTGATCCTGGGAGTCAGTTAGCAGTGACTGTCGTGTGTATCTTACCATGTGATGCGTATGGCGTGTGACCCACCCAGGGTCTTGTCAATGTGTATACTGTGTAATATACAGTGTGTGTGGATGAGACTAAACATGAAACGTCTAGCGGGGTGACATGACATTATGTGGACAGGTACTTAAAGGAGACTTCTGATATGTGTCCTGGACCAGGGTGGAGCCAGGGGAAGGGCAGGAGGGGCAGGTGGGAGAGATGCTCAAGAGGCCAGAAGATGGGATGTGGAAGGCAGGTGTCCAGAATGAGGCCTAGGGCCCTGGCCTGGGGACCTGGGGACAGTGGGGCCTCCATGAGGTAGAGATTGGAAGAAGTAGTAAGTTAAGGGATGATGCTGAGGCCAGTTTGGGACATTGTGGTTGTGAGGGGCCTGTGGGACCCTCAGGGCGAGGTGTCCATGATGGGCTATAGAGCTGATGGCTGTGAGGACTGAGGGATAGTGGAGCTATGTCTGAGCTCACTGTTTTATTTGAAACTAGAATCTATTGATAAAAGTAAGAAAAGTAGCACTTGGCTGGGGTTCTCCCCATGATTGAACTCTTCATTTTAAAATTTTAAAAACATAAAGAAAACTCGAAAGAAGAGCGTAAGTTGCACACACCGTGACCCCTCATCCCTAAATGGTCAGCGTGCGTCTCCTACAGTAAGAGCCTTCTCTCGAGTAACCGCAGCATCATTATCACACCTAACCTGCTCATATTTAAATTTCCCTCATTACCCACAAAATGTATTTGATTTTTACACAATTTGGAATCCAGTCGTTTCTTCCATTTGGTTGTTATGTCTCTGTAGTCTCTTATATTTTTATTTATTTATTTATTTAAAGATGACCGGTAAGGGGATCTTAACCCTTGACTTGGTGTTGTCAGCACATTCTCCCAAGTGAGCCACGGACCAGCCCTTGTAGTCTCTTTTAAATCTAGAACAGCTTCCACCCTCTTTTTGCCTCATGACACTTGTGAAGTCGATGAGGTTCTTAACTTGGCCTTCTGGGAAGCATGTGGATAAGCTAAAATTGTGGTTGGGATTGCATGCTTTTTTTTGCATTTTCCGGAGGGAGTGCCCATTGCTTTTATCAAAGAAATCCATGAATTTTCTGCAAGGAAGAAACAACTACTAGCCTTTATTGAGTGCCTACGCTGTGCCCTGTTCTAATTGCTTTCCAAGTATTAACTCATTGGATCCTCACAGCTACCCCAGCTGGAGGGTACTATAATTATTTCCATTTTACAGATAGAAAAACTGAGGCTGAGAGAGAATTGGTACTTGCCTAAGTCACAAAACCAGTAACTGGCAGGCTGGCTGTAAGCCCCAGCTCTCACCCCCTGCACTAGCCTATCTGGAGACAAAGGAGGTGGGTGGGGGGAGGACTGAGATCCCAGACCCTTGCCCTTTCTCTCTCCCTCAGTGGACGACGTCCAAGTCTCTTGCTACCGAACGCTGTGCAGTATCTACTCGCTGGGAACCACCAAGAACATTTATGTGGAAAAGTAAGGAGAGGGAGCCAGAGTTTGGGGCTGGGGTGGGTACTATAGGGCTGGAGAGGAGAAGATGGGGGAGTGGTGAAAAGCAGGAGATTTTCAAAATCTTCGAAGGGCCTGCACACTGCGAGGGCTGCAGCTCCCCAAGGCGGCCACACGAGGGCGCCCAGGGGAAGGCCAGCCAGCGACGTGGGGGCGGGCCAGGTCCGAGGGCGGGTGCGAACCAGGCCCGCAAGTGCCAGCGGTGGGGGCGGTGGGGAAGAAGGTTGTTTCAGTTGGCACAGAAGTCTTCCAGCTTTCAGCAAGTGACATGGATTTCAACAAGTGACATTGCACACTGGCGAATGGCAGCTCTGCTCCAAAGGGTTCTGGGATGGGGCACTTCTGTGGAGAATGGGGCTGGGACCCAGGACCCCGAGAAGGGTAGCGGGGAAGGTAAGCACAGCCCCCTCTTCCAGGTTGCGGCCAGCTCTCGGGGAGTGCCTGGCCCGCCTGGCAGCGGCCATGCCGGTGGCGTTCCTGGAGCCTCAGCTGAATGAGTATAACGCCTGCTCAGTATACACCACCAAGTCTCCCCGGGAGCGGGCCAGTAAGTTGCGGGACTGGGGCGGCTGTCGGGAGTCACACGGTACCCAGCACAGGGCCTCGGGGAAAGCCCACTCCGAGGGTAGTGTGGCCCAATCTGGGCTGCGAGGGGCTGAGGATTCACTACGTTGGGGGTGCCCCACCTCGGGAATCAAGAGCTTGTGGGGGCCCTGGTTTGTGTTACTGGGACATTTCAAGGCTGTTATATGGGGAGAATTAGGAGATTAGGGATGGAATTTGGAGCTCTGGGGTTTATTTTGGACATGGTGACATTTGAGGGCATCATCAAGCTTGGGAACACAGGGATTTTCCAGTGTTCTTGAGTTTTGGGTGAGGGACATTTGAGTGTGGGAGGATTGAGGGAAGGCAGGGGTTAATTCATTCGTTTATTCACTCACTCAACAAATATTCACTGAGCACCTCCTATGTCTGAAGCGCTCTCCTAGGCACCAGAGATGCAGAGGTGAACAGACAAAAATCTTTTCTTAGTCCGGAGGTTAGAATGAGATGTGGGTCTCAGGGCAATATGAGCTCCAGGGCAGGAAACTTGTCCTTTTAGTCATTGCTGTGCTCCCAACATCCAGAACAGCACCTGGGGGCCGGCCCGTGGCTCACTCGGCAGAGTGCGGTGCTGATAGTTCGGATCCCTATATAGGGATGGCCGGTTGGCTCACTTGGGAGAGCGTGGTGCTGACAACACCAAGCCAAGGGCTAAGATCCCCTTACCGGTCATCTTTTAAAAAAAAGAACAGCACCTGGCCCAGAGTAGACAAGTGAGCGAGTGATGGATTTGTATGTTTCAAGGGACTGAATCAGGGTGTGGGATTCAGAGAGATAGGACTGGGGTACACATGGGGGTTGGAAAGGGTTTCTTTTAGAGTATGCTGCACAGCAGGGGTGGGGGAATGGGTGTGCGGTGTGGGAGATTTTAGGAGTGAAGGTTTCTAGGGGTGAGATTTTAGAGAGTAGACAGGCTTGCGGATGTGAGGTGTTTGGGGGCTACTGAGTTTTGTGATGGCTGGGAGAGGTAGTTGGGTTGCAGGGTTGGATTGGAGGAGTAGGGTTTGAGAGACTAGGTAGGTGGTGATTCAGTGGTTGTAGGGGAGGTCAGGGTCCTGGGGGCTGGGGGTGATGGCTTGGCATGCCCTGACCCCTCCCTGCACCCCAGTCCTGGGGCTCCCCAACAGCGTGGAGGAGATGTGTCCTGACATCCCAGTGCTGGAGCGGCTCATGGCAGACATCAAGGGGCTGGCTGAGTCAGGGGCCCGCTACACAGAGATGCCACACGTCATCGAGATCACGCTGCCCATGCTGTGCAGCTACCTGCCCCGCTGGTGGGAGCGTGGGCCTGAGGCACCCCCACCAGCCCTGCCCGCAGGCGCCCTCCCACCCTGCACAGCCATCACCTCCGACCACCTCAACTCCCTGTTGGGAAATATCCTGCGAATCATTGTCAACAACCTGGGCATTGATGAGGCCTCCTGGATGAAGCGGCTTGCTGGTGGGTCTGGGGGCAGTAGGCCTCTGAGGGGTAGGCCGTGTCCTGGGGTCCTCTGACCAGATTCATCTGGGAGGTAGATCTGGGTGTCCTTGGTCTCCTGAAAGTTGGGGGGAGTCAGAGTTTAGGTTTTCTCAGGGTCAAAAGCCAGGGGGGATGGCCAGTTAGCTCAATTGGTTAGAGCGTGGTGCTGATAACACCAATGTCCAGGGTGCAATCCCTGTACCAGCCAGCCATGAAAAAAAGAAAAAGGCTAGGGGTTGGAATCTCAGGTTTGTGAGGTCTGTGGTGGATGGATGTGTCCTGGGAGTCCTCCAAGTCAGATTCTGAATGTCTGGAGCCTTGGAGAGAGTTAGGTCAGAGGCTAGGAGCTGAGTCAAAAGTCTGAGTTCCTTATACAAATGATCAGAGGACAAAGTCAGATATCAGTGTCCTTGATATGGACAGCTAGGGTTCTAGGTCAGAGGTCAATAAATGGGTCTTTAAAGTGTTCAGATTCCTGGTTCAGAAATTCTATGTAAAAATTCCATGTCAGGAATTTGGGGGTTTTTTTGTTTGTTTTTGTGACTGGCTGGTGTGGGTCTCTGAGCCCATGACCCTGGGGTTATAAGGCTGTGCTCTAACCAACTGAGCTAACTGGAGAGCCAGGAATTGGGTTTTTGGATAAGGCTAATGTTAGAGATCAGGGCCTGGGATCAGAGGCCAGGTCCGAGGTCATAGGTTAGTGGAAGAAGCCAGGGGTCATAGAAATCATGTAGTAAGGCAAGAGTCTTGGTATTGGCCACAGCAGAGGTTAAAGATTGGGGTCAGAGGTCATGCTGGTTAAGGGTAAGATATCAGGTGAGGATTCAGTTGTTGGGGGTCAGAGGTCAGGGACTTGTGCCAGTCTGGGTCATAGGATAGGGACTAGACCATAGGCTTAGGTCATGGGTCATGGTTGGGACCAGAGGTCAGGGCCTGAGGTCAGGATAAAGCTGGGGTCACATGAGAGCTGCTGGGTCAGAGGTACAGGTTGATAGTCAGGGGCTGGGAACAGAGGTCAGGTGCTAGAGTTGGGACGGCCAGCAGCGAGCGCCGCCACCCCTGTGCTCCTGCAGTGTTTGCCCAGCCCATAGTGAGCCGGGCCAGGCCCGAGCTCCTGCGCTCACACTTCATCCCCACCATCGGGCGGCTGTGCAAGCGGGCAGGGAAGGTGGTGTCCGAGGAGGAGCAGCTGCGCCTGGAGGCCAAGGCGGAAGCCCAGGAGGGCGAGCTCCTGGTGCGGGACGAGTTCTCTGTGCTCTGCCGGGACCTGTATGCCCTGTATCCGCTGCTCATCCGCTACGTGGACAACAACAGGTCAGTGCGTCCCCAGCTGTCCCCACATGCACTCCATCCCGAGCTCCAGTTTCCCTGGCCCCATCCTCTAAACCTCTTCCCCTTCCCACCTGGCCACAACCAACCTTCTGAGCCTCCTTCCTTGTCCCCCGGCTTTTACCACCTTGGCCCAACAAAATCCATCCCCCTTGTATCTGCTGGCTTCTGCACCTTCAACCCCCCTCTGAGGGCTGCAGTGTCAGCCTTAAGGAGCCCTCCGTTTTCCTCCAGCACGGTGTCTACAGGTGTGGGTAGTTGGGGGCGTCTGATTTGTGCAGTGAACCCCAATGGTCAGGCCTTCCTCCGTCATTGAGAGAAGAAAGGAAGACAGTCCAGACCTGGTCAGCCTAATTTTCCTCAGGAACAGGTCTTTTATAAAAAGACAAGTGTAGGTATCAGCCATTTATTAACATCTCTTTAAAATCAGAAGCACTGTTCAGAGAATTATAACTCCTACGTGCACCTTGATCCAGATATAGTGGAATAAGGTTCAGCTGCAAGTCCCATACTGACTGAAAAGGATGTTAAGCTTGCATCCGGCTTGCAGAGCTGTGTGCACAGTAGCAGAAATGGGAAGTAGCGGTGTGCATGCCGCGTACGTGCCGCTCCGGTGTTAGTTCTTCATGAACTGTTACCAACTGCTGCTTAGCTTAGTCATAAGTTTTGCTACCAAAATTATGCTTAAATAACCATTGGCTCACCCTGTACCTGTTCTTAGGGTTAGGAACTTTCTAGAAACATTATACTGCCTATTGTGTCTAAGAGAAATCTCCCCTTCCTTCCTATAGATTGTTTCTCCCTATATGTCCAAAGAGAAAGGGCCCGGGGTCGAGGTCTGCATATCCCAGAAAACCTGACTGGCATAGTGCCCCTCTAATCAGAGAAAAAGTCTCCTGTGGCAGCCCATTTTACCCGTCCCCCTGCTCTACTTCCTCCACTTTTCTAATCTTTAAGCTTAGGAGAAGGGGAATTCTGTGTTTGGCTTAGACTAATCAGGATCTAATTCTGATTTATGTAGGAGAGGTGCGGATGCTGAGCCAAACTGAGGTCTCTTAACTAGGGGAGAAGGGCCGCCGTCAGAGAGGCAGCCAGCAGCGCCTGCTGTGAAGTGTAGACGTGCGGTTTCCTTATCTTCCCCTCATGCCGCTCATTTAGGTTGTGCCCATTTCTTTGTCGCTACCCACGACACTGTAACAAACAGTGGAAAGACATATAGACCCACCCTCCTCACCCCCCTCCCGTTTCCCCATCTCCCATTTCTTCTCTCTTCTCCCCACTACCCCACATCCCCCTTTCCTCTCCCCTCATCCTTCTCAGAACTGCCCTCTTCAGGGCACTAAAGAACAAACCCTCCCACCCCAGTCAAGGTCTGGACGTGCCCAGCTAGGGGACGTGTGGTGGGTAGGGCAGAGGAGCTGGGGTGTGGCCAACTTGGAGTTGGGCCGGGGGTTCTCTGCGGGGCTGGGGTAACACTTCTTGTCTCTGTCTGCAACCCGGTGAAGCAGGCGGGAGATGTACAGGTCAGCCCCACGTCTGGGACCTTTGCATGGCTCTCGGCTAATACCTTCTTCCCCCAAAAGCCCCCAGCCTCCGCACCCCCTCCGGAACACCCCTGCCTCTGTTGTCCCCACCCCTCATCCTCGGCTCCCAGCCCCCATCCTCCTTCTCTTCCCTCTACCCCCATCATCCATTCCCTTCCCAACTCCCAGCTTTTGGCAATTGGACTTCTTTTTTTACTTTTGTTACCAAAAGAAAAAGAAGCATCAGCATCAGCAACTCTCAGCTTTCCCCAAGCATTGTGGGCTGAGGTCGGGGGAAGGGGGTGGGAAAGGCACGTGGCGCATGGTTGGGGAGGCAGCACTCTCACCGTGCGGTGGTTGAAGGCTTGGGCTCTGGAATCAGACTCGGGTTACAATCCTGTGTGGGTAGTTAGCTGTGTGACCGTGGTCTAGTGTCATCCTTCTGAGCCTCTGATGCATCCAGCCAGCGGCCCCCACCCCAGGGCGCTGTGAGGACTCAGTGAGATGCTGCATGTGTGGCCTTCGGGAGTGCCTGGCACGGGGGTCATGCTCGATATTACTAGCTGTGCAGATGTGGCTCAGGCCAAAGCTTGTCACTGGGGCTTCTCATTGGCATGACTGGGGCGGCCCTGGCCACGGGTTTGCACCCAAGGCTCCGGAATCCAGAACACAGCTGTGGGACTCTGTGCCCCGTGTCTCTACTTCCAGATCTTTCTGGATCTCTTGCATCTGTCTCTCCATCTTCTTGCCTGTCTCAGTCTCTCAGTGTCTCTCCTTTTCTTTCAACTTCTCTTGTCTCTTGGGACTCTTTGTGGATCTGCATGTTTATTTCATTCTTGAGAACTCAGTCTTGGAACATGAAGTGTGGGATTGTGCATGTTGCGGAGGGGAGGATCGTGCCGGGAGTTCTTAGGAGACTCTTGGAGGGGACTGCTGGAGGTTGAGAAAGGCCCAGAATTCAGAAAAATCTGGAAAGGGTTGGGTTAGAATTTGGGAATTTGGGATAGGGGCTTGGGTCTAGGCTGAGGGTCCAAAGTGATCAGCAAGGTTTGAGGTGGAAACTGAGGCATGTTTTGAGGTTGGGGAAGAGGTGGTTGGTATCCAGGCTGGGGCCTGAGTGTGGACAATAGCTGCAGGTTGGGGCTGGAGCATGGGGCTGGGACTCGGGCTGCCTCTGAGCCCTATGTTCCCACAGTCGGGTGGCTCGGACCAGGAACGCACCAAGAAGAAGCGTCGAGGGGACCGGTACTCAGTGCAGACGTCACTGATTGTGGCCACGCTCAAGAAGATGCTGCCCATCGGCCTGAATATGTGTGCGCCCACCGACCAGGACCTCATCGTGCTGGCCAAGACCCGCTACGCCCTGGTGCCTGCCCAGCCCCATCCTGGGAACCTGCCAGGATCCTACCCAGCACCACACAGAGCCCCCCAGGACCCTGAGAGCTCTCCCTTAGGAACCTACTGAGTCCTCCTCCAGGACGCTGAGGACTCACAGAGACCTCTGGGATGCCCTGACCTTCCCCAGGATGCTGAGGACCCCACTGAAGACACTGCCAGGGCCCCATGGACCTAATGACCCTAACTGGGATCCCACAGAAACCCAGAAAAGCCACTAGGAGGGCCGGCCCGTGGCTCACTCGGGAGAGTGCGGTGCTGATAACACCAAGGCCCTGGGTTCGGATCCTATATAGGGATGGCTGGTTAGCTCACTGGCTGAGCATGGTGCTGACAACACCAAGTCAAGGGTTAAGATCCCCTTACCAGTCATCTTTTAAAAAAAAAACAAAAAAAGAAAAGCCACTAGGACCCCTGGGACCCTAATGAGCTCTGCAGGACCCCCAGTGATTCCCCCTAGGACCATACCAAACCTGCTGAGAACTTGAGGATCCCACCCCCTGAGATCTACGAGCCCCCCTGAGACTCCTCTGAGCTCTCCACCAGGACTCCCCCAACCCCCCTCGGGACCCACGGAGGCCCTCATGACTGCCCTGGCCCTTCCCTGTACCCTCAGGACTGAACATCTGGGTTCCCACTGAACCCTCCAGCTCACCTCCTCTTTCCTTCAGGACCCTGCTGTCCCCTCCCCCTGGACTCTGTTGACACCACTGAGTCCCCAAGGACTCTCAGGGGCCCAGTGAGCCCTTGTGACCTCTAAGTAGCCCCCCAAGATCCCAGTGGTTCCTTCTGCAGAATCACACCCAAGCCTCCGAGGTCTCAAGGATCCTGGGGATCAACTGACCCTGCCCCCAGAACCTCTTAAGCCCCTGGGACACCAAGGAGGCCTCCCAAGATCCCACTTACCCCTTGTACTGGACAGCAAGGACACCCACCTCAGAATCCTTTTCAGCCTCAGGGATCTGAGGAGGAGCCCTCCTGTGATTCCGCCCCAAGACCCCTGTAACCCTCTCCCCAGGACCCTGCTAAGAACCTGGACAACCTACTAACCCCCTGGTGGCCTGAGGATCACTGACTTGAATGTCCCTTCCCTCAGGACCTCAAGTTCCTCCTAGAACCTATTGAGTCCTGCTGGGACCTCAAAGAGCCGTACAGGGCCCCACTGACCCCTCACTTTGGTCCTTGATGGCCCCCTCTCCTGGGACCCTAAGGAACCTCCACCCTGCTGACCCCCCACTTTGGCCCCTGTAACCAGTGGATTGGTTGACCTGCCTGATCCACATGACCTCTGCAGACCTTGCTGACTCCCTTTGGAACCCCTCACCCCTTGTGTTCTCCAAAATTTCCCTGCCCCACTCTGACCTCCCATAATCCCTTTTTGGCCTTATTTGACCTTTGATGATATCCTCCTGTCATCCCCTACCTCCTCTCAGACCCCATGAGGCCCTCTAACCTTTACTGTCTCTTCAAGGTGCCTCTGTGGCCCTCTGGTCCCCTCTAGGGCACCTCTCTGTCCACTGCTGACCTTTGGGTCCTCTCAGTTTCTCTGGGGTCCTGGGCTGGCAGGCCTAGAAGGGAAAGGTTTGTGGGTCATGGAGGAGGCTGGGACCTCCAGAGTAACCCAGCCTGGTCATGTCTCCCCAGAAAGACACAGATGAGGAGGTCCGGGAATTTCTGCAAAACAACCTTCACCTTCAGGGAAAGGTATGCTTCCTTCATTTGCAACCTAAAAGGGCAGGTCAGAATAATAACCACAACAATAGCTAATGTTTGAGCACTTTCTGTGTACCAGCCATCGCCGATTGAAGACTCACAATATTGAAAGGCGAGCGGGGCAGCCTGAGAAGCCGATGAGCGGGGAGGGACCGCAGAGAAGCCAAGGTTGAGGGAGAAAGGGACGGCAGGGGAGGTGACCTCACGCTGGCCATCCATCCTCCCCTAAGGTCGAAGGCTCCCCGTCTCTGCGATGGCAGATGGCCCTGTACCGGGGCCTCCCGGGCCGCGAGGAGGACGCCGACGACCCCGAGAAAATCGTGCGCAGAGTCCAGGAGGTGTCCGCGGTGCTCTACCATCTGGACCAGGTGGGCGGGGCCGTAGGGTGGAGCGTGAGTCAGTGGGCGGGGCCGAGGGTGAAACCTTAGGTCTGGAGGCTTAGCCAGAGCCTTGACTGTTGGTGGATCTCGGTGTTCCTTCGGCCTTGGGAGTAGGGCCTGAATATGGACCTGGGCGCAGATGGGCAGTTTCACCCAGGGCTGAAGGTGGAAATCAGGCCAGGGGTAGGGCCTGGGGATATGACAGACTGTCCTGTCCCCCAGACTGAGCACCCTTACAAGTCCAAGAAGGCCGTGTGGCACAAGCTCTTGTCCAAGCAGCGCCGGCGGGCAGTTGTGGCCTGTTTCCGCATGACACCCCTGTACAATTTGCCCACGTAAGGCCTCCAGGGAGGAGCGGAGCTTGAAGGGCGTGGAGAAGGGGTGGCTGGGGAGTCGGGAGGATGGAATGCCAACACAATGTGTCTTGGGGATAGTTGGGGGCAGCAGATGCAAGGGAGGGCAGGGAGCCTAGAGGAAGAGACGTCTCAGCGCCCAGACCTTTTCCCTGCAGGCACCGGGCATGTAACATGTTCCTGGAGAGCTACAAGGCTGCCTGGATCCTGACCGAAGACCACAGTTTTGAGGACCGCATGATAGATGACCTTTCAGTGAGCTGGGGCCTGCCTGGGGGAGTGAGGGCTGGGCTGGGCTGGGCTGGGCCAGGCTGGGCCGGGCTGGATCGGGCTGGGAGTGTGGCCGTTCATTGCACACCTCCAGGGGTCACTCTCCCCATTGAGGGGTATAGAGACGGTGGCCCCTGGCTTGGGCAGAACCAGGATAGGGTGTAGGATGTGGGAGAAGAGAAAATAATCTAGGCCAAGTAGGGCTTTGTGGGGAGGCAGGAGGGGACTCTAGTAACCCCTTCCTCATGTCCCACCCTGCCCCCAGAGAGCTGGGGAGCAGGAAGAGGAAGAGGAAGAAGTAGAGGAGAAGAAGCCAGACCCCCTGCATCAGCTGGTTCTGCACTTCAGCCGCACTGCCCTGACTGAAAAGAGGTGAGGATCCTTCCCAGAGCCTCAGAAACGCCTCCAAGGTCCTGGGAAAGAGACCTGATGCATCCTCTTAACCTCACGCCCCCATCCCAGCAACCTCCCTGTACCTCAAAAGAGACCCCCTGTGTCCTGGGGGAGCCCCGTGGCTGATCCTTTAATGTCACTTTACTAGGACAGGCAAGGCCACCATATACCATTGTGCAGGCTGGACACTTCACAAGGCCATCTCGTCTGAGGGGGTCACAGCACAGACAATGAAGATGTACCAGGCTTTTCTAGAAGAAAGTGTCTTGCTCAAATAAAATCAGTACATTATGAAAAAAATCAATATATAGGACAAACTTCCAAAAGATGGAAGTGGGGTGGGGGGCGGTTTCTAATCTACTCAAAGGCTTCATATGGGCTAATGGCAGTCTTCATAACAAATAATAGTAATAAGGATGCTGCTGCTAATAATAATAATGATAATAGGCAACATTTCTCAAGTGCTCATTATGTGCCAGACACCACGCTAAGCACCTGACATGTATACTATCTCTTCATCTTTACACTGTGAGGTAGATGCTATTATCAACACCTTTTTTGTAGACGAGGAAACAGAGGCATGTCACCTCTCCCCCAGGGTGACGGAGACGCAAAGGATTACTCAAAGCCCATTTCTCCTGAGCAGTGAGCGGCCCGAAAGGGTTAATTCCAGACAAATCCTTCAAGGGAGAAGAATTCTTGGAAACTAACCCTGAGTCTGGTCTTCTCTCAGCATTTATTGTCCAGGCAAGAAAGTTACAGAAAAAGAACATAGGTGGTTACAGAAAGAACAGTAAGACGGTTGTCATGGCAACACTCAGTTCCCTAAGAAACTTAAACAACTGAAGACTTTCCAATCACTAGGTTTAGCTGCACCAAGGACATCTGCCCTTAGAGCAAGCATTTTTGCTGTGTTACACTTTTTTTTAATCTACAACAGAGACTTTAGCCCTGGGAATGTTGTCTGTCTTTCCCAAGCTTAATATTTTCTATGTGTTAGGCCCTGTGAGATGCATTTGCTTTATTAATGTTGGTATCCTTGTGGGGAAAATAGGATAATTTAGTCAGGCTCCCTGGCCTCAGGTCTGGTTGGGGGTCGAGCAGCACATTTCTTTATAAACAAGTTGTGTGTGGGTGGAGTTAGTGCGCATGTGCACCAATGGATCTTTTTAGTTTTGTTGCTATTGTGTGTTCTGCAGTTTGTGAAGCAGGCTGGCTGGCAGAGCTCGCCTCTAAAAATAGAGCATGTTTACTCTGCTGGCAGCTGCTAAGTTTTTCTTTGGACTTTGCCGGTAGCGGTGAGTTTCAAAGTTTCTCTTTGTACTGCCTAGCTCCTAGACTTGTGTGTGCTGAATAATGATTATTCCTTCTTCAGCCAAGCCTCCAAGGACCTTTTTGCGAGTTACCTAGCTCATAGACCTGTGTGTGAAGGGTTTGAGAATGGGCTCGAGGGGTCTGTAAGCTCCAGACCCTAGCCCTAGCTCTACAATCCTCCACAGAGGCACAGGGATTTATTTCTCCCATGTAATGTGAAGTCAGGAGTTGGACAGTCCAGGCCTAGACAGTGGCACAATGACACCAACAGGGACCCAGACTCTTCTTAGCTTTCTGCTCTGTCATTCTTAGCTTTTGTCTTGTGGTCACAAGATGCATGCGGTACTTCCAGCCTCCTGACCACATGCCAGGCAGAAAGAAGGGGAAAGCCTTTTTTTTTTTCCTCTAAGCGAGGACTTTGGTCTTTTCATCCGAGAAGGAAAGCTCTTTCTGGTGGCTTCTGCACATATCTCATTGTCCAGAATTCTGACATCAAGCCACGACTAGCTGCAAGGGAGCCTGGGAAGTGGCGTGTCTCGTTTTCCATCCTGTGGGAGAGCAGTGACTCTGGAATTAGACTATCCAGGTTGAATCCCAGTGCAAGCTCTGTAACCTTGGCCAAGAAAGAGCTTTGTGCCTCAGTTTCCTCATCTGTAAAATGGGGTTAGTAATATATCTACCTATGGGGATTACTATGAAGATTAGTTTGTTAATATATGTAAAACACTTAGAACAGGGACTAACACAGGGTAAACACTCCGTAGCTGTTGGTCATTGTAGAGGAGAAAGTGGTTGGTCATGTTGTTAAGAGAGCCAACAGGTGGCAAGATGACCCTGGAAGCTCCAGCCTTTTATCACTCCATTTTATCCCAAAAAGGGAGCATCTCTCCCGGTAGCTCCAGTGAAACTTCCAGAATGAATTACACGGGACCAGAGTAGACCACATGGCCGTCTCTTACCTATATTGTGGCCAGGCAGATAGAAAGCACTCATTGGCCCTGCCTCGTCACATGCCACCCTGGCAACGGACAGCCCTCCCTACCTGAACAGCACAGCCTGAGCAGGGAGAGGGCTAGCTGTCCAAAGGAAAATGGGAAGCTGTTATAAGATGGGGGGTCTCCACTGGGTCCTGACCATCTCCCTGCTTACCTCCTCAGCAAACTAGATGAGGATTACCTGTATATGGCGTATGCAGATATCATGGCAAAGGTAAGGCCCTGCCCCATCCAGGGCAGGTTCCCTTCTCCCCATTTGCAATGCCTGTTCACTGAAAGGGCTGGGGAGTGGATTGAGGAATCTCCTTTGTTCACCATCATCTCTTAACTGGTGCCCCCTCCCCAGAGCTGCCACCTGGAGGAGGGAGGGGAGAACGGCGAAGCTGAAGAAGAGGAGGTTGAGGTTTCCTTTGAGGTAGGTGGGATCAGGAGGTCCTGAAGGAGATGGATGGGAGACCCTGACTTCAGTCATCTCCCATTCATTCAGTATGTGTTCACAAAGCAATGCTGTGGGTCACAGTAGTAACCAAGTCAGCCCACTAGGGAGACAGATGCATCAACAAAACAGTAATAGCACAGTATTCACTGTCATAATGGGGGACGCTAAGGCAAAGTGGTCAGGGCCAGGATGGGGAGGCACAGGCAGAGGGGTCGGGGATGGGGTGGAAGAAGCAGGGGGCGGGTATGGCAGCTCAGGCAAGGTACCGGACCAGCCTTGGGGGAAGGGTATCAGAAGACTTCTCAGGGGAGAGGATGTCTGAGCAGAAGAATGAAAGCAGTATGTCAGCTGAAGAAGAGGAGAAAGGTGCTCCATACAGGAAGGAGGAACAGCATGTGCAAAGGCAGGGCAGTGAGAATAGCTAGTAAATGTGCAGTTAACCAAACCATTCATTCATTAAGGCAGTCAGCAAGCATTTACTTCAGTTTCTTTTTTTTTTGGCAGCTGGCCGGTACTGGGATACAAACTTTAACCTTAGTGTTATCAGCACCGTGCTCTAACCAAGTGAGCTAACCGGCCAGCCCACCTCACGGGGTCTTAACCATTTTATGCCAGGGTCTCTTCTGGCACCTGGTGAGGACCTTCTCAGAGTCATGTTTTTAAACAAATAAAATGAATTCATAGCAGAGGAAGCAAGTATGAAATGGTTGTCAAAATATTCAAAACTAAGGGCCGGCCTGGTGGCGCACTGGAGAGTGCGCTGCTTGGGAGCGTGGCGGCGCTCCCGCCGAGGGTTCGGATCCCATGTGGAGACCAGTTCCCACTCACTGGCTGAGCGTGGTGCGGGCGTGACACCGAGGGTTGCGATCCCGTTGCTGGTCCCCGGTACGGGCGCGACACTGAGGGTTGCGATCCTGTTACCAGTGAGTAAAAAAGACAAAAAAGGAGGAAAAAAAAAATTCAAAAATAAATATGTGATACAGTAATATATGTACAGTACTTTATTAATCTGCCAAATAAGATCTAGCAGTAGGCCCAATAGCTACTGTAACTGAGCGGTAGTGATGAACATAAGTGGTATTTCAAGATGTCTGTAGCAACAATAATCTGATACAGGGACATCTGTGATTGTTATTATTGGTGACGAAACCAGAGGTTCTGCTAACATCGCTATGATTTATGGCCTCATTCATAATGGAAGGAAGTGCTATGTTTCTGTTAGAGGGTGGTAAACATAAAAATGTGATTTTTTTCCTCATCCAAGGTCACAGATGGCCTGAACTCTATTTACTGACCCCTTGGAGGTCTGTGGCCCAGGTTAAGACTGCTCCACGCCCATGATTTATGTAGATCTTGCTCCATGCCTAGCCCTGTGCTAGGTACAGGAGACAAAACAAGGACTTAAGGCCCAGGGGATGAAGGGAGCTGGCAGGTGAAGGAATGAGTTGTGGATGTGGCTGGAGCAGGGAGCGCAGGAGTGAGAGACAATGCTGGAGGGAAAATAGGTGTGCTGGTGAGGCTGGACTCACTCAGCCCTGTGGATCTGCTTCCATGCCCCAGGAGAAAGAGATGGAGAAGCAGAGGCTCCTGTACCAGCAGTCACGTCTGCACAACCGGGGGGCTGCCGAGATGGTGCTCCAGATGATCAGCGCCTGCAAAGGTGCCCCTCGCATGTGCATTTGGCTCCTCTGAGTGCACCCATCCTGTCCTCACTCTCCCAGGAATGGGTGGACCTGGCAGGCACACTTTGCCACCTTGTGTGCTTGTGGTTTGCACTCACACTCCAGCCCTTGCAAGTTCCCCTTGCCTTACAGTTTCTCCTGCATCCCTCACTCTCCCAGGAATGGGTGGACCTGGCAGGCACACTTTGCCACCTTGTGTGCTTGTGGCTTGCACTCACACTCCAGCCCTTGCAAGTTCCCCTTGCCTTACAGTTTCTCCTGCATCCTTTGATCATGATCACCGCTGCAGGCACACCTTTGCACACTCTTCCATTCCCCTTCTCTTACATCACCTGGGATGGCTGTTTTCTGGTGGGTAGAACACACGGCCCCCAAACTTGGCAGGTCATCTCTTGCTTGCTCCCCAATCCCTTCAGGAGAGACGGGTGCCATGGTGTCCTCCACCCTGAAGCTGGGCATCTCCATCCTCAATGGAGGCAATGCTGATGTGCAGCAGGTAACAGAGGTGAAAGGGCTTGGGAAGAGGGTTAAGAAGGGTGGGAGGTTCCTGAGTGACTCCCAGATCCTCCTCCTTTGCCACCCCTCTGCAGAAAATGCTGGATTATCTGAAGGACAAGAAGGAAGTCGGCTTCTTCCAGAGTATCCAGGCACTGATGCAAACATGCAGGTAGATTCTAGTGCACATCTTCTAGTTAAGCTCTTTTTAGTGTGGCTGTGCCCACACTCCTGGAGCCAATTTCAGTTCTAGTTCTGCTGTCTTGGTCTAGGAAGAGACCCAGTCAGAGTAGCTCAAATTACGGGGAATTTGTTATAAGAATTAATATGGAACAATAAGGGAGGCAAAGTGTCATGAGCTGTACAGTAGTCCCTTCTTATCCATGGTTTCAATTACCTGCAGTCGACCATGGTCCGAAAATATTAAATGAAAATTTCTAGAAAAAAACAATTCATAAGTTTTAAATTGCATGCCGTTCAGGTGGCACGATGAAGCCTCGCACTGTCCCACTCCGCCCCGCCCAGGACGTGAATCACCCCGTTGTCCAGGGTGTTCACACTGCTGACGCTGCCTGCCTGTTACTCGGCAGCTGACTCGGTTACCAGTTCGCCTGTCACAGCATCACAGTACTTGTGTTCAAATCATCCTTATTTTACTTCATAATGGCCTCAAAATGCAACCGTAGCGATGCTGGAATATTGTTATAATTGTTACATTTTATTATTAGTTATTACCATTAATCTCTTACTGTGCCTAATTTATGAATTAAGCTTTATCGTAGGTATGTACGTACAGGAAAAAACATAGTATGTATAGGGTCTGATATCATCTGCGGTTCCAGGCATCCACTGGGGGTTTGGGAACGTATCCCCCAAGGATAAGGGGGGACTACGGTACTCTGAGGCCCAGGCCGTGGAAGCAGGATTTGGAGAATTCAGGAGGAGCTCAGCAGGGGGGAGTTCAGGCTGCTCTGATGACCCCTATTAATGTGACTCTGGAGCTTTTGCTGACTGAGTTACGTTTCTTCATTATTTCAGCTTGTGCATGGCTCATCCTGGCCCTCACCCACTTCATAGCTGCCCATCCTAGCTTCTGCCAGCTCTCAGTGTCTGCTTCCTTTGATTTCATCCTGTACGTGGTTTACCGTGGCTCTGCAGCCCGCCACGGCAAGGCGCTGCCCGGCCCTGGAAGAGAGGAGGGCAGAGGCCTCATCACGTCTTCCCTGTCTTTCCTCTTTCCCTCAGTGTCCTGGATCTCAATGCCTTCGAGAGACAGAACAAGGCAGAGGGACTGGGCATGGTGAATGAGGATGGAACTGGTGAGGCCCCCTCTTGGGCTTCCCTCTCCCCGGGACATCTTCTTCCTTCAGGATCCTCCTTTCCCCTCCCCCCAGCCACTGCCCGGAGCTCCCTTCCTCCAAGACACCCCCTTCCCAAGAGCTGCCTTGGGTTCTTCCCCCTGATATGGTACCCAGCCGTGTCCCCACTCCCCACTCCTCCGGGGTCTCTCTCCCTGTGGTCCCCAGCCCTGAGTGTCATTCTGTCCTGTGTTCTCTCACCCGTCACCACATGGATCCCACCCTCCACCTGCTCCGAGTCTCAGCTTGCTGCTGCCTCATTAATGTCCCTAATCCTGGTTAATCACGTCTCCTCTCTGCCGTGTTGTGACGTGTCTAACCCCCCCTACCCCCATCCTCGCCTCCCGCCTCTCCCCTCTCCCCGTCCATTTCTCTCTCTCTCTTCCCTCCTCTTTCTTTCCTTCTGTGTTTCCCCTCATTTCCTTCCCTCTTCCTCGCTAATCCGCTTCCTTCTGTCTCCTCATTGCTCTGTCTTTCTCTCTGTGTCTGTGTCTTTGTCCCTGACTGTGTCACTGTATGTGTTTTGCTGTCTCTGTCTCTCTTTTTCTCTCTTTTCTCCTGCTTCCTCCTCCCATCCTGTTGGCTGCCCCAGTCATCAATCGCCAGAACGGTAATTCTTCCAGCCCATCCCCCTTGCTGTGCTACTGCCGTCCCTTCCCTTCTAACCCCCAACTGTCCCCTCCAGCTGGGGGCTGAGGATCTGGGACATGCAGGGGGTGGGGAGGAACCCTTCAGTGGGCGCACCATGCCCGTGGAAAAGTCTTGAGATTAGGAAGGAGTCCAGAGACCAAGACTCAGGTCCAGATTAACCACTGACAGCACATGGGACTATGAACAAGTCGTCACTTTCCCTAGCCTCAGTTTCCCCATGTGTAAAATAGAAGCTGGAGAAGATGGCAAATGTCGCTTTCCAGCTGGATATTCTCAGACCTCCAGACCCAGATTCGCAGTCCCCGTGTGGGGTGATCCCCGTTCCTACCTATTCTGCTCTCTGCACCTTGACCCCAGATTGGTCTGTGAGCAGCTCCCATCTACCAGCCTGATTGACTGCCTACAGCATCCACTCTGATTGGTGTGCCTGCCTCCTCTGTGCCTGCTCTGGTTGGCCCATTCATGGTCTAGCTTCCTCCCCTGCAGCCCAGTATGATTGGCTTCCTTCAGATACCAATCCTGATTGGCCCATGTTTACACACCTCCCCTCTACTTCTCCTGGACTGGCTGCTTTTGAGGCATCCGGGCCAGTTGGCTGGTTTTCAGTCCCTATCTCTTATTCTATCCTAGCCTGATCTCCCCTTGCTCGGAGCCTTTGTGTGAAAGTGACCCCAATCCCCATAATCCATTAACCCCACACATGTACCTGAAGGGGAGCTGGGGGCGATACTAGCTGCCTGAACTTCTGCTGGGTCAGCAGACACTCCAACACCACACAAGTGGTGACATCAGAGGGACACTGATTTTGTAGAAAGATACTTGAGGCCCCAGCTTCATGACTTGGGGCCCCTCAAGTCTCCATCTGCTAACGTCATGGACTCTGAGGTCGAGACCTCTGGTGTCATGGGTACCCATGGCCCACATAGTGTCCTTGAAGTGGTGGCTGCTCCTCCCAGCACCTGCATGCTTTGTGCATGATCGTGCAGTGTGCATGGGCCATATGCATGCCTGTGCTGTGTCCTGGCACATCTGACCACTTCTGGGCCCTACCCTCTCCCTTCCACCCAGGAGAGAAGGTCATGGCAGATGATGAATTCACACAAGACCTGTTCCGATTCCTGCAATTGCTCTGCGAGGGGCATAATAATGGTGAGGAGGAGGGGTGGGCGGGGTGGTGGCCAGGGTTTGGGCTTGGTCTGGAAGAGTTATCTGAGTTAATCTCCAACCCTGCTCCTCTCAGCCCCTCCCCACCCCCCATTTTTTTCATGACTAGCGGGTACAGGGATCGAAACCTGGACCTTGGTGTTATCAGCCCCATGCTGTGACCAACTGAATGAACTGGCCAGCCCTCTTCCCCTTACCAGTGATGGCCTCACCACCCATCCAGGCCTTGTCCTCGGCTCCATTGTCCTTCATCTTTTACTTACAGCCAGATTTCTGGAATATAGCCACTTGCTTAACTCTCACCTCCGCTGGTCAGATTGCCCAAAAGCAATCTGCCCAAAACCAATTTGGCCAAAAATAAGTTTGCCCAAATGGGTAATTTGTCACACAGCATTTTCGCACAGGCATTTTGCAGTGGCTGTCAAAGTTGAGTACATGTGGTGGATTTCTGAACGTGGTGTTCATAGAGGAAAAAATTGCCTGGCATTTTCAAATGACTCTATAGAATTATTTATTTATTTTGCTTATAAAATACTTTGCCAGTAAGAAGGTCTACAGATTCTTTCCTAACTTTTGCTCTGGTGCAGCCAATTTAACAAGGTCAAGGATGACACAGCAAGTTAATTAAACACATCACTGATGAGAAAACATAACCTCCCGTGGCACACATAGTTTATAACATTAAAGGAACAGTCAAAATTTTGTACAAGAAACATTCTGCTAAATGCCATTTCCTATAACATACGTGTACAGTCTCAAGGCTGTGGTTATAGTGCTTATCAGGTAACTATGAAACCACAGACCACCCGGAAATTGACATTTATGACAAGAATTGGAGTAAGTAGAAATCTAACTTCTATAGAACCTTCACCCCACTTGGCTAGTGCTCTTTAAGGTAACTGATCTGTAAATAACTTTAATCTTCACTCTTTTCTTTTCAACGAAGCAGAAAGCATGATTCATCACTTTGCATTCCCAAAAGCTGTGTCCACAACCTTTGTGCCACATGATTAAGATTTTCCTTCTTTAATTTGCACTAAGGTGGAATCAGTCTTTGGGGTTTTAAATGAATTTTATTCCCTGGGGCTATGACTTTTTGAAAATTAGAATGTTCTTATAGGTGGGATTTTTCTCTTCCAACAAATTTGTAATCCAGTCTTCTGCCTAAATTTGTGGATTCATTAACTGGCCCAATCAAGTGAATATTTGAAATATATTTCAAATCTCAGATGCCTTGCATGTCTTGAGTATTCAGTGCCACTCAACACGGACAGAAAGTTTGTCTCTTGCTTACTTGCACGTTTATGACCGCGTTCTCAGTTGGCAGAATTCTTTACAAGAGCCGTATATTATATCTAACCATTTATGCATATAGTCCAATTTAAATTAACACAATTTAACAATTTAAATTAACAAAAATAAAGGAGTTAGAAAACAGGGTTGATGGGAAAGCCTGTACATTTGCTTATGAAATCTTGAATATTTGAGTATGCTCCTTGTAACATGAAACCAGGTAAAATGGGCAATTTGGCCAATTTAAATTAACACAATTTAACAATTTAAATTAACAAAAATAAAGGAGTTAGAAAACAGGATTGATGGGAAAGCCTGTACATTTGCTTATGAAATCTTGAATATTTGAGTATGCTCCTTGTAACACGAAACCAGGTAAAATGGGCAATTTGGCGAGTTAGCTGGATGTAGCAATTGTGAAGTGACAAGAGGGAAGTTAGGTGGGAAGGAAAACTTTGGGGAGGGGGACTTTCAAAGGCTGTTAAAGTCATCCGGTGCAACATGACATTGCCATAAACATAGAAAGACTTAACTGAAGCCTGTTTTTGTTGCCTTGATAACTTGACGAATTGGCCATTTAGCAAATGGGCCTACAGAGATGGTTAGCAAGCTTAAAAATGTCTCAGAATCACCTGTACACCTTGTTGAAAATGCAGATTTCTTTTGGATACCCATACCAGCCAGCCATTAAAAAGAAAAAAAAATTAAAAATACAGATTTCTGGGTCCTGCTCCAAAATTTCTGATTTAGTATTTTGGGGATAGAGCCTAGGAATCTGCATTTCTAATAGGTTCCCAGGACATGTGATGCTGCTGGTCTGAGGACCACACTTTGAGAACCACTACTCAGAAATACAGCTCTTACGGGGCCGGCCCATGGTTCACACGGGAGAGTGTGGTGCTGATAACACCAAGGCCACAGGTTCGGATCCTATATAGGGATGGCCGGTTAGCTCACTGGCTGAGCGTGGTGCTGACAACACCAAGTCAAGGGTTAAGATCCCCTTATCGGTCATCTTTTGGGGGCGGGGGGGAGAAATACAGCTCTTACCACAAACACTCTTTAAGGCCCTTTAAGAACAGTTTGTAAGGACTTGCCAGTTAGCTCAGCTGGTTAGAGTGCAGCCTTCTAACACCAAAGTCGGGTTCAGATCCCTGCAGTGGCTTGAGTACTTTGGGCCAGTCCCATCTTACAGCTGGAAATTTATGCAGCCCACTCCTACTTATCTTCCAGGTCTCAGCCCTCTCAGAAGTCCTGTTGTCCAGGGAGCCTGACCACCCAGACTGGGTCAGGCATCTCCTCTGGGCTCCTCTGGCCCCCTGGCCTTTCCCTATCACATCCCTAATCATTATGCCTGGTATTCCCCACCACGACCTCTGCCACCCATGAACAGTGTTTATCATTATCGTCATTATTCTAGAACTTATCAGTCATACTAAAGTAGAGAGAAATGATCTAATGAACTCAACACACAGCTTTAACAGTTAGCTCCCTGCCATAGAACAATATTTCTATTTTTTCCACCTCCTTTGGCAGCTGGCCTGTACAAGCAACTGAACCCTCAATCCTTGGTGTTACAAGGCTGCGCTCTAACCAACTGAGCTAAGCAGCCAGCCAGGACAACAATTTTCAAGTAGCGAGAAGCAATCCATCAGAAGTTCTGAGTCTACAACACCCAGATCTAACAGCAAACTGGCCAGCCCTGGAGGATCTCATACTAATTGCACATAGGTGTGCCTGGGGAGCTAGGACAACAATTTTCAAGTAGCGAGAAGCAATCCATCAGAAGTTCTGAGTCTACAACACCCAGGTCTAACAGCACACTGGTCAGCCCTGGAGGATCTCATACTAATTGCACATAGGTGTGCCTGGGGGGCTGTAAGAAACACTTAGCCCAGGTTTCACCCCCAGAGATTCTAATTTAATTGACCTATGGTGGGCCCTGAACATCGGGATTTATTTTTAATTAAAAAAAAATTGGGGGGGAGACTATTGCAGCTTACAGCATCGGGATTTTTAAGGGCCTCCAGGTGATTCTAATGTGCAGCCAAAGTTGAGAGGTTGAGAACCACACATTCAGTGGGCTGTGATCAGAATTCTTTTGTAAACTAGAATAGTACAGGACAGATAACACCAGAATGCATGACACATTGCAAGGATATGTCAGACTTTTGTTTCAAGCATATGTGGATATAATTTCAGACTAAACAAGTGTACTGGGTCTCAATGTAAAATGGAGTAGATTGCACTTAGAAAAGACTGAAAGATTACTGCACAAGAATATAAACTTTGCAAGGGCAGGGACTTTGTTTTCTTTTACTCCTATATCCCCAGAGTCTAGAACAGTGCTTGGCACATAGTAAACGCTCAGTAAATTTGTTGTACCAAAGAACAAATGACAGTCTTTATCTCCTGTTAGTGTATAGTATATACTCAATAAAAATATTGAATAAATGAACAAATTACCAATCCTTATCTCCCCTGGCCTTTAGTAGGTGCTCAATAAATATTTGTTGGATAGATGAATGAATAAATGACCACTCTATCATCTTATCCAGCACATAGAAGGAATTCAATAAAAATTTTTGGAAACAAATGGAGGACTGAATCTCTATTTCTCCCTGCTACAAAGTAGGTGCTCAATTAACATTTGTTGGGGGGGGTGAATGAATAAATAACTGTCCACCACACGTGGAACGTAATAGGCCCTCAATATTTATTAGATAAATGAATAAATGATCCTCCATGTTCCTCTGATACATAGTAGGTAGTCGGTAGTTATTAAATAAATGATTATATGCTTTCTGGCACACAATAGGCACTCAAGAAATACTTATTGCATAGATGAATAAATGACCCATCTCCCATAGCACATGGAGGTGCTCAATGAATGACTTTCAATCTCCCTAGATTTCCAAAACTACCTACGAACGCAGACAGGGAACACGACCACTATTAACATCATCATCTGCACCGTGGACTACCTCCTGCGGCTGCAGGTGAGGATGTGAGACGGTTCAGTTGTGACCTCGGTCGAGGGCTGTGGAACCAGGGTTTGCCCCGGCACTTCCTCACATCCTGCCTGCCCTGCAGGAATCCATCAGTGACTTCTACTGGTACTACTCAGGCAAGGATGTCATTGAAGAGCAGGGCAAGAGGAACTTCTCCAAAGCCATGTCGGTGGCTAAACAGGTGTTCAACAGCCTCACTGAGTACATCCAGGTATGGCCCGTCCTGGGATTGAAAGGGCAGTCCCGCATCCAGCGCCCTTTCTGGTGCTCACGCAGCCCTCTGCCCCCCAGGGCCCCTGCACCGGGAACCAGCAGAGCCTGGCACACAGCCGCCTCTGGGACGCAGTGGTGGGATTCCTGCACGTATTTGCTCACATGATGATGAAGCTCGCTCAGGTTCGAGCTCCTGTTTTTCATCCACCTGCTTCAATACATCCACTAAGAGATCCGTTCCCAACTCTTGCTACACTGCAAAGTTTCTCACTCAAATGCTCCTTGCATGTTCCAGACTGGTTCACTCTCTATGGCCAATTCGTTTTCCCTCTGGATTGGGTCTCTGCATGACCCCTCCTCCTCTGCCCCCACCAGTCGGCCAGTTTCCCGTCTACACTTCCACTGGTCTGGTGAGGGCTGGCCAGTTTACTCTTATAACACCACTGGTCTGCTGTGTTAAGCCCCACCCCATCTGGACAGAGCCTCTCTGTGATTGGCTGGTGTTCTTTTCTCTCTGGCGAGGTCATGTCAGAGTCAGACAGCCCTGGGTATAGAACGGGGGCTGGCTTCTAGATTAGGGCCTGGGGCTAAAGAAGTGTTTTGTTTCTTTATCCTGCCTGCGGCAGATGACGCCCATCCCAGGCACCCGTGATGTAAGGTCCCTGTGAGCCCCATCTCCCATCTCTGGAATCCTTTTGTTTCTCTTTTCCCCACAACCTCCATCCCTTTGCAGCTTTGTCAATGACTCACGAACACAATCCATTTGCTCTGCTTCTGTCTGATAAACGTATTCAATCAAGGCTGCTATGTACAGTTAAGCAGGTTGTGCACTGCACAAGGGCAGGACATCTGAGGCGGCACTGTCCATATCCTAAACATCATGAATATATTGGTGTATACTAGTTTTCCAGCAGATGGCAGTAAAGTATTCTGTATAATTTCCCAGCAAGCAGTGTCTTAAGGAAACTTTTTCTCATTTACCCCAAGGGGCCACAGGGGCAGGCAGAAACCCTCACTGGTGTCATCTGACTTTTTGAAAGGAGTTGAACTTAGAATATAAATCCTCAGTGTCACTGCAGCTGAAGTTGCGCTGTTGGTGTAATCTTAAGATTCTAGAGAATGTTGGTATCACAGTGTAGACTTCCAAATCTCACATTGTTAATTCATCAGCCACCACCAAGGTCTAGGTTGCAAGGGCTAGAAATCCAATGAAAAGGGATGGCTTAAGGAAAAAATTAAAATAATTTATCAGTTGACATGACAGATCCAGGGCTTAGAGTGATGTCAGCAGAAATGTCTCTCTCCTCTTTGGCTTAATTCTCAAGCAGGCTGTCCCCATGAGCTGGAAAAATGATGCCTCAGGGTTCCATTCACCCCATTAACAGCTCCAGAGGGAAGAGAACCCCTCTTTCCGGGGAGCTCCAGGAAAAGAACTGAGATTCTCTCTGATTGGACTATCAGGTCACACGCTCATCCCTGAACCAATTACTATACCCTTGGGAAAGAAAGCTCTGACTGACCAGAAATGGCCATGTACCCACCCACAGAGCCAGGAGGTGGGGCTAGCCCCGTAATTTCTCTGAGAGTGGGATTGGGGGTGCCCCAGTTGAAAATTGAGGGATTGTTAAGAGAAGAGGGAGACTGGATCATGCGCAGGCACAAACCACAGGCTCTCATCCATTTTAGGATTTTGAGATCCTGGAATGTTGGAAAATTGGAATCAGAATGCAGAGCTTTGGAACTGTGGGCATGTGCTAGGGTTAGAATCAGCAACTCCTGGGGCCGGCCCGGGGCTCACTTGGGAGAGCGTGGTGCTGACGACACCAAGTCAAGGGTTAAGATCCCCTTACCGGTCATCTTTAAAAAAAATAAAATAAAATCAGCAACTGCTAGAACTAGATTGAAGTAGAGGGAGCCTAACATCCCATTTATCTGGTATCCTCTCCTGTCCTATTTTATTAGGTGGAACCATGTGAAATTACCACTTTGTGGGTCAAAAATGATTGCTTATTAGCAATTTTATGTGACTCAACCTAATGCAGATATGGACCATGAGACAGAACTTTGTGTTGGAAGTTTCTGTGGGTCCTACGTGAAGCACTGTGGCAGGGAAAGCAATGTGCCCCCCTGTGCCCCCCAGATGGCTTACCAGAAAGCATGTAGCTGTCTTCTCCAGCCTTCCACCTTCTCATCACACGTTATATTCAATACACATGTGTCAAGCAGTCACCGCAGGCCAGGCACAGTGCTAGCTCTCATCCCTTCCCAGATCTGGGTCCCTGTCCCCAGTATTCGTCCCTATCTGTCTCTGTCTCTTTGTCCTAAATGTCTGCTCCCCAAGCCTCCCAGTCCTCCTCGTCTACTAGCCCCTTACCCCCACACATCACCTGTTGGGCCTGTTTCCCCAAAATACCAATTGCACCCCCACAATCTTGTCTCTCTGCCCCCTCCCGTGCTTCCGAGGAGCATGTCTGGACTCAGGTCCCCTCGGAGGTAAGAGGGGAGAAAGGGATTTGTCTTAAGCACTGCTGGGTAGTTGAAGAGGGATGGAAGCAGCTGGAGGTGGGGGAGGCATCTCTGCAGAGATCAGCTGTCACATAGCTGGGATGTGGGGTCTCTAGGACTCAAGCCAGCTCGAGCTGTTGAAGGAGCTGCTGGATCTACAGAAGGACATGGTGGTGATGTTGCTGTCACTGCTAGAAGGTAAACACTCAGTGTGGGGTGGGGGGAATGGCCCTCTGAGACCCAGGAGACCTTAACCATCAACCCATCTGACATCATGTCAGGGTCAGTGGGTTGATGAAGAAATTGCAATAACAAGCTCAGCAAACACTTATTGAGCACTTAATGTGCACTAGGCCCTGACTGTGCATATATTAATTTATTGAATCCCCAGAGAAATCTTAATAAGGTGGGTGGCCTGGACACTTTCATTTATTTATGTACTTAGTATTTATTTATTTATTTGCTAAATTTATCTGTTAGCTTTTGCTGCATAACAAATACCCCCAAACATAGTTCCTTAAAACCATTAAAACTCCTACAGTGTTTCAGTTTTTTTGTTAACTAGTCATTGTCTTTTAAAAATCAGAAGGGGGCCGACCCTGTGGCTCACTCAGGAGAGTGCGGCACTGGGAGCGCAGCAGCACTCCCGCCGCGGGTTCGGATCCTATATAAGGATGGCCGGTGCACTCACTGGCTGAGCGCAGTGTGGGCGACACCAAGCCAAGGGTTATGATCCCCTTACCGGTCACACAAAGGAAAAAAAAGAAAAAAGAATTAAAAATCAGAAGGTTCTTTTTAAACATCAAGATTTCCAGCTTTTCTTGAAAAATCGAAAGATTCAGTGGTCCTGGGTCCACATTCTCATGTAACAAAAATTATCTGGACTGGATTAAACAATGAGTCATTTTGATGACCACTCTGTGATTATATTAGAGAATGTCCTTGTCTTTTGGGACATGTACACTGAAATGTTTAGGGGTAAAGTGGTCTCACATCTGTAACTTACTTTTGAATAGTTCAGAAAAAAAAATATATATATATTAGTATATACACTCATGAGTACATACACGCACACACATGCACGTAGAGAACTATAAAACAAATGTGGCAAAATGTAAACAGTTGCTGAATCTGGAATATATAAGAATCCCTTGCACTATTCTTGAAATTTTTATGTAAATTTGAAATTATGTTAAAATTAAAAGCTACAAAGTAAGGGCCGGCCCGGTGGTGCACTGCTACAGTGCGCCGCTTGGGAGCGTGGTGGCGCTCCCGCCGAGGGTTCGGATCCCACATACAGACCGGTTCCCGCTCACTGGCTGAGCGAGGCGCGGGTGCGACACCGAGGGTTGCGATCCCGTTGCTGGTCCCGGTCCGGTACGGGCGCGACACTGAGGGTTGCGATCCGTTGCGATCCGTTGCCGGACACGGAAAAAGACAAAAAAGAAAAAAAAAGGTACAAAGTAAGCTGGAGCCAAGCTTCCGCTGCTGACTTTAGAGGGAGTGTGGGATCCCGGTTTGCCAGTTTCTACCTTTCCCTGCTGCCTCACCTTTGGCTTGTCTATGGACCTGCCTGACCTTTGTGGACTACGGGAAGTTTTAAGTGTGTATGCTCTAAGGTCATGCAGCTCAGGGTTCAAATCCTCCCCCACCTCCTTATTGACTGTGAAACTTCGAGTGTGTAACTTTCTCTGAGTCTCAATTTCCTCATCAGTAAAAACGGAGAGAAACACATCTTCCTCACAAGGTTGTCATGAGATTGTACCAGGGCAGCATTTGGCATGACATCTGGCATCTGCATCATTTTCTTTATTGGTGATTTCCAGCAGCTAGCGGGGGAGGTGGACAAAGACAGGAAGTGACCCTTTGAGGGGAGGTGTGGGAGCTGGCCAGGGAAGCCTCCACCAGCATGGTGGGTCCTAGGGAGCCATCGTGGCTCCTGAGCTGGAGAGAGGCAAGCCCAGTGGGGCTCCAGAAAGGAGGCTCTGCCAGACCACACTGACCTGGGGCTGCCTGCAGGGAACGTGGTGAACGGCATGATTGCCCGGCAGATGGTGGACATGCTGGTGGAATCCTCGTCCAATGTGGAAATGATCCTCAAGTTCTTCGACATGTTCCTGAAACTCAAGGACATCGTGGGCTCTGAGGCCTTTCAGGACTACATCACCGATCCCCGTGGCCTCATCTCCAAGAAGGACTTCCAGAAGGTGGGTGCTGGGCAGTGAGTGGGTGGGCCCAGGACACTGGTGGGGTTGTCAAGTGCTAGCCATGCCTTTCCTGGCTGCCTGCCTTGGGCAAGAGACTTCTCTGTGAGCCTCAGTTTCCTTACCTGTAAAACGAGGATGAAAAAGTCCTTGGGGTTGTTTTGAAGATGAAATGCATTAACACAAATGAGAACCATTATTACTATTTATTAATAGTCATAACTTTATCATCATTATGAATAGGGATCAGTTATTCAATCAATAAACATGTACTGGGTTTCTTCTCTGTGCTGGGCCTGTCTTGATACCATGGGCCCAGCAATAACCAAGACAGATATAGCCCCTTTCAAGGGGCTTATAGTTTAATGGGGGAGATGGTCACTAACTAAGCCATGACAGGTCTAAATAACGAGGCTGTTAGGAGGGAAGTGCTAGAACCAACTTTTCCCAGGAGCCCCCTCATCCTCCTCTGTCCACCTCTCCCATCCCACCTCTGCCATCTCTCTTTATGTGACCCCGGGAAAGCCACTGTCTTCTCTGAGCCTCAGGTTCCTCCTCTGTAAAATGGGAATAGGGTAACAGTAACTACTTCACAGGACTACCGTGAGGATAGACAGTGTGTGGACAAACCTGGGATATAGTGAGTACTCAAAAGATGTTAGCTATTATTACTGCCAGATCTTGTCCATCACCATTCTGTTAACTTTTTATTTTGAAGTAGCTTCAGGTTTATGGAGAAAGTGCAAGAATAACACATAGAATTTCTTTTTGTTTTTGTTTTTGGCAGCTGGCCAGGACAGGGATCCCAACCCTTGATCTTGGTGTTATCAGCACCATGCTCTCCCAAGTGAGCTAACCAGCCAGGCAGCACATAGAATTTCTGAATACCCTTCTCCCAGGTTGCCCGAGTATTAACTTTGTGCGAACATTTGCTCCATCATGATTTCCCTTTACCTCTGAATACTTTCAGGGTATATTTCCTGAGAACAAGTTCGTTCTCTTACATAACCACAGAACTATTATGCAGATCAGGAAATTAGCATGGATACAATGCTGCTATCTAATTTGCAGACCTTATTCAATTTTCACTCGTTGAAGAAATTTTTTTTGTCGAGGACCAGAGGTTGCATTTAGGTGTCCTGTCTCTTTTCTTCCTTCAGTTCAGAGCTGTTCCTTAGTCTTCCTTTATTTTTCACAACCTTGACATTTTTGAAGAATCAGCAGCTGTTTTGTAGAATGTCCCTCAGTGTGGGACTGAGTTTCTCTCATGACTACATTTGGATTATGCATCTGTGGCAGGAACATCAGAGAAGTGATGTGTCCTTCTCGGTACATCATATCAGGAGGCACATGATGTTGTTTCTTCTCATTACTGTTGATGTTAACGTGGATGACTTGGTGAAGGTTGTGTTTTCCAGGGTCTCCATCATAAAGTTACTGTTATTCCCTTTGCAATCAATAAGTATCTCGTGAGGACATACTTTGAGACCATGTAAACATCCTGCTCACTCGCGAGGGTTAGCATCCATTGATGATTCTTGCCTGAAACATTTCTTACATGGTAGATGACAAATGGTTTTCTAATTTCGCCATACCCTTTAACTTTATTACACACCATTTTACTTACAGAAGAGCTTTTCCTTCTTCTTCATTTATTTGCTCATTTTTCCATTCATTTTTTTTATATCAGTGTGGACTCGTGGCTTCTTTTTTTTTTTTTTTTTTTTTAAGGATGACCGGTAAGGGGATCTCAACCCTTGACTTGGTGTTGTCAGCACCACGCTCACCCAGTGAGCCAACCGGCCATCCCTATATGGGATCCGAACCCGCGGCCTTGGTGTTATCAGCACCGCACTCTCCTGAGTGAGCCACGGGCCGGCCCATGGCTTCTTATTTTATTCCATGGGTTGCAGTTGTTACTGGCCATCAGCATTTAAATAAGGTCAGGGTCCCCTGAGTTAAAAATAAAGCATCCCAGGCCGGCCCGGTGGCGCACTGCTACAGTGCGTCACTTGGGAGCGTGGCGGCGCTCCCGCCAAGGGTTTGGATCCCATGTGGAGACCGGTTCCCGCTCACCGGCTGAGCACGGCGCCGGCCCCACCCCGCGCGGCGCGATCCCGTTGCCAGTCCCCGGTACGGGCGTGACACCGAGGGTTGCAATCCCGTTACCGGTCAGTAAAAAAGACAAAAAGGAAAAATAAAATAAAATAAAATAAAGCATCCCAGGGCTGGCTGGTAGCTCACGTGGGAAAGCGTGGTGCTTGAAAACACCAAGGTCGAGTGTTTGGACCCCCGTACCAGCCAGCTGCCCCACCCCCCAAATAAAATGAAGTGTCCCATGCCTTAAGCCTTCAAGCTGTCCTTCAGGAGCCTTCCTGCATCTCTCCCACTTCTCGGCAACGCCTCTCAAGAGCCCTCTGCCCTTGTTCACTCCTTAATCATCTCACTCTCCCTGATTTAAGGCTTGCTGACATCTGCCCCTGTCACTCTCCTGAAACTACTTCAACCAAGATAATCAATGACCTCTTTGCCCCTGAATCTCTCCTCTGACTTGCCACCTTGGCAGCATTTGCTGCCGTAGGCCATTTCTTCCCCCCTCCCCACAACTGTGGGGGGCAATGCCTGCTTCTCTGAGCCTGTGCCTCCCCCTCCTGGGTCCCCACTCCCCAGCCCATCCCTCCTAGCCTCTTAAATGGCACTGTGCCTGAGTCCTCCACCTTCATGAAGAGGAACTAATATTTATCATATGCTCATTCCGTGCCAGGTCCTGTGTATAAACGAATAAGCTCCTTTAATCCTTAAATCAATCCTATGTGGTAAGGACTGTTTTTTATTCCCATTTTGCAGATGTGGAAACCAAGGCACAGGGAGGTGAAGTGACATGCTCAAGGTCACCCAGATAATAAGTGACAAAGCTGGAATTAGAACTCAGGCAGTCTGGCCCCACAGTATACTTCCTCCAGATTAATCTGCTAATTTAGTCTAATAAATAGTCAGTGGAGGCTGGCCGGTTAGTCACTCGAGAGTGTGGTGCTGGTAACACCAAGGACAAGGGTTTGGATCCCCTTACCAGCTAGACACCAACAAACAAACAAACAAATAAACAAACTAGCCAATGGCACTTCCTGGGTGCCAGACCCTGGCTGGGAGTCCCAGTTCTACTCTCGAGACTGGTGGGTTTAGAGAGAGAGTCTCAGGCAGGTAGCAGGAGAACCAAAAAGCATTACGCAGTAGCTAAAGCACGCATCATTCATAATTTATGAAAAAAAAAATTTGAGGGGGGTGGCTGGCTGGTACGGGGATCCAAATCCTTGGCCTTGGTGTTATAACACCACACCCTAACCAACTGAGCTAACACATCATTCACAATTTAAAATGGGTACCGATACTTCTCGAGTTTGGGGCTTCACAGGTCACAAGATTTGATGTCATTTACATGACATTTGACAGCTCAATGTCTCTGTTTCACAAAGTTACAACCTGTAAATTGAAAATAATGCATTCTGTCCATTTGAAGCCTGCTCTAAAAAAATGCATTTGTTTTATTTTTTTCAATACATAATCCATTCATATAATTTTAAAAATCAAAATATATCAAGATATGAAGTCAGAAGTCTCAGTCCCACCCTTTCCCAATCTACCCTTCCCCCATGTCCACCAGTGTAAGCCCTTTTATTAGTTTGTTTTGTATGCTTCCATCATTTTTTTTCCTGCAAATATGGACAGATGTTCTTATTTTCCTTCTTTATTAAATAATAGGTAGTATACTATATCACTGGTCTATATTACTTAACAGCATATTCTGGAGATACAAAGAGCTTCCTTATTCTTTTTTACAGGTGCCCAATATTCCACTTTGTATGTATGTTATGGTTTATTTGCTTATTCCTGTTGATGGCCAGTTGCTTTGTTCCCAGTGTTTTGCTATTACAACCCATGCTGTAGTCAGGGCTGCCATGGATAGTTGTGCAAGTTGTACACTGCACAAGGGTGCCATTTATAGCACACTGTACATTTGTATAGTATTACTGCAGAGTTCCAGCAGATGGAAGTAAGTGTGCCAAGGAAAGCTCTATATGGGCCACTAGCAATGCTGGCTATAACAATTACCCTTGTACATACCATATTCCATACGTGTGTGTTTTATATCAAAGGATAAACTTCCAGAAGTGGGACTGCTGGGTTAAAGGGTAAATGCATTTGTCATTTAGAGAAATATTGCCTCTCATTTTTCCCTCCCATTAGTAACATATGAGAGTGCCTGTTTTCCCACAGCCTTGCCACCAGACCGCATTGTCAAATCTTTGGATTTTTGCCAATCTGATAGGTGAAAAATAGTATCGCAGTGCAGTTTTAATTTACATTTCTCCAGTTATGAGTGCAGTTAAGCATCTTTTCTTTCTTCTTTTTCTTTTTCTTTTTTTTTTTTTTTGGTGGCTGGCCAGTATGGAGATTCGAACCCTTGTCCTTGATGTCATTAACAAAGGCTGTAATCAAGGGCTGTAAACTTGCCAGCCCAAGCATCTTTTCATGTTCTTTTGTATTACTTGTTCTGTGAACTTACCGTTTCCTTGGCTTCTTTCTATTGGAATGCTGGTATTTTTTTCCTTGATTTCTAGGAGCTCTTTATATATGAGGCTGATTAGAACTTTGTTAGTAATAGGAGTTGTGACTGTCACTCCTAGTTCATCATTTACCTTTTGACTTTCATTATGGTGTTATTTTGGCCATGCAGAATACTTGATTTTTATGTAGAAAACCATTTTAAATATTTTATTAATTTTTAACGAAATAGGTAATACTAATTAAACAAATACATTCCTCTTGTAAAGAATTGAGAACTTACAGCTATGGTTGAGGTCACCTTTGGTCCCCATCCCCAATTCTGTTCTCATCCCACCTCTCCAGAGGCCACCACTATTACTCATTTGGTGTACATGTCTCCAGATGTTTTTTCTGCATCTCCATTCATGTGTAAATCTGCATTAAAAAACACAGCCTTGTTTTATGGTTTCCCAAGTTCTTCGTGGTTGACAGAGTTCTTGACAGTTTACAAAGCACATCTCCATTGATGAAGCAGAAGTACTTTGCAGATTCCAAAACATCTACTACAGTTTGGAAATCTCTTTATGGTGGTTGAAGTGACATTTTAGAGTTCTAATTTATTCTTGGTCAGTAAATTGTCTTCAAGTTTTCTTTATTTCTTTTTTTTCATCTGTAAATATTTTTCTATGTATCTCTTAATTAAAACACTTCCTTTTTAGGGCCGGCCCGTGGCTCACTCGGGAGAGTGTGGTGCTGATAACATCAAGGCCACGGGTTCGGATCCTATATACGGATGGCCGGTTCACTCACTGGCTGAGCGTGGTGCAGACATCACCAAGTCAAGGGTTAAGATCCCCTTACCGGTCATCTTTAAAAAAAAAAAAAAAAAAGCTTCCTTTTTAAAGCATCTTTATTAAGATATAATTTACATACCATAAAAATTCATCCACTTAAAATGTACAATTTAATAGGTTTTAGTGTATTTACAGAATTGTGCAGCCATTATTACAATCTAATTTTAGAACATTTTAATCACCCCCCCAAAAAACCCCATACCCTTTAGCAGTCATTTCCCACTCCCCCCACCCCAGTTCCTGGGAATCACTCATCTGCTTTCTTTCTCTATAGATTTGCCTATTCTGGACACTTCCTATAAATGTTGTCATATAACATGTGTGGTCTTAAAAGGCTTTCCTTTCATTTGACAAACCACAATGTCATTATCACTCCTAACCAAAAACAAAACAATAAAAATAAAACAAAAAGTATCCACAATTCTTCAAATATCTAGCCATTGTTCAAATTTCCAAATCTCATTACTATTACATATAATTTTTTGCAGTTTCTTTGAATCAGGATCCAAATAGGGCCCACCCATTACAACCGGTTGATATTTCCTTAAATCTTCTTTAATCTATTGCTTCCCCTCCATCACTTTTTCTTTTTCCTTGCAAGTCATCTACTGAAGACCCAGGCTATTGATCCTGCAGAACTACCCTGCCCAGCAGAAGTATGAGAGTACTTCAAAAAGTTCATGGGAAAATGGAATGGAAAGATAATACAGAATTTTCTGTGAACTTTTGGAAGCTCCTTGTACAATGTGAGCAACATGTATAATTTTTAAAATTGTAGTAGTCACATTTTCTGAAAAGAAGAAACAGGTACACATAACCTCGTATATCCAAAATATTATTTCAACATGTAATCAATATAAAAAGTTATTAATTAGGGGCTGGCTGGTTAGCTCACTTGGTTAAAGCATGTTGTTGGTAGCACCAAGGTGAAGGGTTCAGATCCCCTTACTGGCCAGCCGCTACCCCCCCCCAAATATATACATATGTATATTAGATATTTTACATTCTTTTTTTAATACTAAGTCTACTGTTGAATAGTCCTGCCCTAGTCATACAGTTTCCCACAGTCTAGATCAGGCTGGTGCATCCCTATGGTGTCATTTCATGTGTTCCTCTGTCTCCTATAAACTTGGACTTAGGTTGAGAAGTTTGATCAAATGCAGGTTTGAGGTGTATGGTGTTTTGGGGGGGGCAGAACCTGCCTACATGGTGCCATGTCCATCCGTCAGGAGGCACATCCTGTCAGGTCCTCTCTCCTTTTGTGATGTCAGCAGCTACTGACAGTCAATGCTCAGACACACCAGTTCATTAGGGACTGCAAAGTGGTGATGTTCTCATTTCTAAATGTTTGAACATCTGTAAAGCCTCATATGGTTTCCCAAAGAAATCTCTGTGTTTCACAACATGCTTTTAAATTTCTTTATGGTTTACAAAGCATATTCAGGCGTGGTGCTGATAACCCCACAGTCCAGGGTTGAATCCCTGTCCTGGCCAGCCACCAACATAAAATGAATAAGTAAAATAAAAAATAAATCAATAAAAGGCATATTCAGGATTTTCTTTAAAAGGATTTGTTAATTTTCGAAAAATGTGACAAAGTTCAAAACTCTTCTCTGTTTTCAAGATGTTTCATTCATTTGACAAATATGTATGAGCACCAGCTGTGTGTCAGTCACTGTCCTGGTCCTGAAGGCATAAGAGTGGACAAAACAGAGGTCCCATCCTTGCAGACAGCAGTCCAGTGGGGAGCGGCAGATGAAAAGAGCTAAATACGCAAAATAATTGCAGGTTACAGTCTGTGGTCTGAAGGGAACGAGCGGAGTGGCGTGGGAGTGAGCGGGGGTGGAGGAAGCCCTGTAAGGGGAAGGCCTTTCTGAGGAGGCGACACTGAGACTCAGAGTTAGAAGCGAAGGGTTCCCCCGAGGGTTCGGATCCCACATACAGACCGGCTCCCGCTCACTGGCTGAGCGAGGCGCGGGAGCGACACCGAGGGTTGCGATCCCGTTGCCGGTCCCCGGTCCGGTACGGGGGCAACACTGAGGGTTGTGATCCGTTGCCGGACACGGAAAAAAGACAAAAGACAAAAAAAAGTAAAATAAAATAAAACCACAAGTTCAGTTTTGGCCATTTCCAATTTGAGGTAGACATCAAATTGGAAATGGTCAAGGAGATGTCAGGTAGGGCTTTAGCTGTAAGAGTCTGGATCATGGGAAGCAGTCAGGGCTGGGGATGTAGACCTGACAATCACTGGTATCATGTGGCATTCAGAGCCTGGGGACTCAGGTGATATCTCCATGAAAAGGCTATATCTCAAGAAGGTGCAAATTCCAGGCCTGGGGCATGCCAACCTTCAGAGGTCTGGAAGAAGAGACTCCAGCAAAGGAAACTGGTAATAGAGAAAAAGGCATTCCAAAAGACGGGGATGGGCAAGTGGACGGTGACGAAAAGAGACCAGCAGATGACAAGAGCAGAGTGCACAGGTGAATAGGACGGATAGGGTCCCCGCTCCTCATCACACGGGGGGAGGCAGGCTGGTGGAGCGAGGGTAGAAGGTGAGGAGTTCCGGTGTGATTATGTCTCCACGCTCTGCGGTTTCTAGAGCCCTTCATGATATGCAAAGCATGTTACTCATTTAGAAAGCATTTTGCAAAGTTCTTGGCTTTTTACAAAGCACTTTTTAAAGCCAGAAAATTTCGCTTCTGTTCATACCCCAGAGTGACATTTCTCACACTGCATGTTGCAACCCATCCGTAGGTCATGAAATTAATTTAGTAAGTCATGACTCGGATCTTTTAAAGATAAAATAGAACAGTGCAGAGTGTGTTGCACAGCAAAAGTCAGAAGTATGTCGAGAAGCTTTTTTTCCCTTGAGTCACATTGTAAAATGCGTTCTTACTGTGGGTGCAGTGAAGAACGTCTGAAAAACTGCCCCGAAGAACCTCTTGCAAAAGTGCAGAAGAGATCGGCACAAGAATTTTCAGTGAAAGTGTTGTCTGTAAACTTAAAACAAACTGGATACAATCTAAATGTCCATCATCAGGAGAATAGATAGAGGGCTATATTTATAAAATAGGAGTGAAAATGAATTCATTCGATTTACATATATATCAACATGGATAGGTCTTGAAAACACACTTGAGTGAAAAAAAAGCAAGTTTCAAATTAAATGGTTATAATAGCAACTCACTAAATCAAAAAAGCACACAGGATACTATATACTTTTTTTGTGTGGGCCATGGATGGGTACAGGTAGTAGAGGTATTGACAGATGTTTGGGAGGATGTACACCAACGCCAGGATAGTGGGCACCAGGGAGAGTGGAGGGGATGGGGCAAAGGAACAGCACACACAGGCCTTTAGCCATATCTGTCATGTTTCAGTTCTTTAAAAATGTTACTACGATCACTTGTTAGTTCTGGGTGATGGGCACATGACTGTTTTTTCCCAGTTGAAATTCAGAGGCCTCCACTGTCAGGTATCAATTATTCAGTTGCTGGAAATAGGATGGGGGGGTGCTGAGGTGGTGGCTTGTATCAGTCAGGGTCCCAGCAGCAAGCAGCACATGCAGACTGACCCAGTCAGGGAGACTTTTATAAAGGGAGTGTTTTCAGAGCTGGGGGCAGGGGGTAGGGAAGCCACAGGAGTTCTGCGGTCCTCTGGGGTTTACAATCCTGGAAGCTGTTTCTACCTCTAGACTTGGGGGAGGTAGTCTGGAGGAAAGATAGCTACCTAATTTGGAAACGGATGGAGCTGTGCAGACAGGGCTGCAGGGACTGGCCTTTGAGTGAGGGTCACTCCAGCACAGGGAGGAAGCCAGAGAGAGAAATACCACAGCTCCATTCTTCTCCTCCGTAATCCTAAATGGATGGACCCAAACTGAAGCCAGAGGACTAAGACAGCCTCTGGTGCAGACCATAGGTGCCATCAAGGGCGGGTAGCCAGAGAGAGAAATACCACAGCTCCATTCTTCTCCTCCGTAATCCTAAATGGATGGACCCCACCTGAAGCCAGAGGACTAAGACAGCCTCTGGTGCAGACCATAGGTGCCATCAAGGGCGGGTGCGGGGGGGAGACGTGTAGAGGGGGTCTGGAGGGCCACACCGGGATGGCACACAGAGAGCTTGTAAGAGCATCTTTTTACCAGTTACTACACAAGTGCTGAGTTTCATCAGTTCTTAGGCGCACATTTTTCACATTCTACCATCTCTGAAAATGGAATGTATCTTACAGCGGATGACTGCTCAGCTTTGTTGAAATGGAGCATTTCGGTATTTTAACAGCTGGTACAACCTTACCTGTGCCATCCTGCTGAGTGTCAGCCATGGGTGTTGATTATATGATTCTGGATTTTTCTGTCTCTATGAAAAGTCCGTAGTTACTTTAAGAAGAGCATTGAGGGTCCCCAGGCCATCCCACTGACTTCCCTTCCTACCTCCCAGGCCATGGACAGCCAGAAGCAGTTCACCGGTCCAGAAATCCAGTTCCTGCTTTCGTGCTCTGAAGCGGATGAGAACGAAATGATCAACTGCGAGGAGTTCGCCAACCGCTTCCAGGAGCCAGCTCGCGACATCGGCTTCAACGTGGCGGTTCTGCTAACCAACCTGTCGGAGCACGTGCCACACGACCCGCGCCTGCACAACTTCCTGGAGCTGGCCGAGAGCATCCTCGATTACTTCCGGCCCTACCTGGGCCGCATCGAGATCATGGGCTCCTCGCGCCGCATCGAGCGTATCTACTTTGAGATCTCGGAGACCAACCGTGCCCAGTGGGAGATGCCCCAGGTCGGCGGACCTGTGCATGTGCACGCCTCGGGGTTTCAGGAATGCCTGTGGTCGCTCCTTGCATGCTTGGACCCCACCTGGGGCTGTGTATGTCTTGCACATCCGCTCTGCAGCCCTTGCTCGGGTCTGGCAATCCCTCGCCCATTCTTTTGTACACATCTTATGGGCCCTGCCCTTGCACATCCCCAGCTCGCCCATACCAACATCTTGCAGACTTGGCCCACACATGGATGTACACCCCCTGTGCATGCAGCAGCATCGATACGCCCTCACTGTGGCTGCTCACACGCCATGCCTACCCCTTGCACACTCACCCCAAGAGCTCTAGCATGTCTTAAAGCCGATGCAATCACATCCACACTCTCACGTACTTGAACCCACATGTTATACAACCCTCACTCACCTTCCCAGCAGTCCCTGGTGTGCTCTCTCAGCCCTGGCTTGCCCATGCCCAATCTTTTGCATACTCACCTGCATCCACACTCTCACGTACTTGAACCCACATGTTATACAACCCTCACTCACCTTCCCAGCAGCCCCTGGTGTGCTCTCTCAGCCCTGGCTTGCCCATGCCCAATCTTTTGCATACTCACCTTGGGGTCTCTGGGGTGCCCTGGCATGCTGGCCCACCCCTCACCATTCACCACATGTGCCCCCAAATGCCTTCTGAGGGTCTAGTACACAATGCATACCCCACTTCTGGGCCCACACGTAGGTGCACACCTTTTGCACAGTCACCCTTAGGATGCCAGTGTGCCCTCCTGCAGCCCTGGCATGCCTCATTCATTCACGTTCCACATACTTTCACTGTAGCCCTAGCACAGCCATGATCATCCACACACAATTGGGCTGCCCTCTCAAACTCAGTCACAAGAGCACCAGAGTCCTTGGCAGCTCAGGCCTGATGTGCCCTATCTCAGCCCATCATGTGCCCAGTCCATAAATGCTTGAACGCCCTCCCACACTCTCTTGCTGCAAGAGTACGCTCGTGTGGCCCTGGCACACGCCAGCTCACCTCACATGCCTAGCTTACGTGTGGTTCCCCTCCCTTCTCTCGCAGTCCCCACGTGGCGGTCACACATCTTCGCTCGACCCCAGCTCTGCTCCTGTTGCCCTAGTGGTCCCTCTGCTTCACTCCCTTGCATGCCAAGCCTGTATACCCCTTGCACTCACACTTCCCTTTTGTTCCTCAGGTGCCCCCAGGCACCTGCACACTCCCATGTGCTCTTGCACACCCATCTCACGCTCCTGGCCCATGAGGCTTGCACACCCATCACCTCCTTAACTACTGGGCTCTTCGTATCTCAGTGGACACCCAGCTCGTGCACACATGTGTTCATGTCCCAGCCCTCATGTTCTGGGCCCTTTTATACTGATTCCTGGGTCCCCCTTGCATACTCATGCCTGCCTCACGGGCACTGACTGTATAATGCGCTCCCCTCCCACACTCGCATTCCTCCTCTCCCCTATATGGTCCCAGGCCCTCACACACCTGCCCCATGTGCCCCTGCCCACTGTACACACCGAGCCTCACATGGTTGCACACTTCCGACGTCCTCCCATGCCACCATGACCTCCTTACACCTGATTCCTCCCTTGTCCCTGGTACCCCCGACATACTCTACAGGAACTTTTCAGATCTTGCACTCACCTGTTCTTGGGGCGCCACTGCACACTCACCCCCCGTCTGGCCCACATGTGGTCGCACCATCCTTGCACCCAGGATGTCTGTGCGTCCCCGCATCTAAAGAGCCCCTTTCACCACGACCCTTCACACTCACTCCTTGTATATGGGTGGAAGCTCTTTGTCCCTCATGTGCACCCCAAGTGTATACTCGTTCCCTACTTCCTCCTGCTCACCCCTTCCCGTTCCCACTTTCCCCTGCTCTTCATGTATGCCCACGTGGACCTGGAGCCCTAGTCGGACAGTATAGTAATAGCCAACACGATGTGGCATTCACTAGGTGTCAGGCGCTGTTCCAGTCTCTCAGCGGTGCCTTCCTTAATTCATTTAACCCTCCTACCAGCCCTGTAACATAGGTCCTACTATTATGCCCCATCTTACAGAGGAGGTAAGCGAGGCCTGGAGGGTTCAGCCAAGATCACCCAGCTGCTCAGTGGCACAGTCAGGATTGCCACCCAGGCAGGGAGGCTGCGGAACCTTTGCCTTCAACCGCTGTGCTCTTTCTTTCTAAGAGGCTCAAAACATCCATTCTGGAGCCAGCTCCTTGGGAGTTCCAGTCTACCATTTGCCAGCTCTCATCTGTGTCACCCTGGACACGTGACTTTCTGGGCCTCCGTTTCTTCATCTGTAAAATGGGGATAATAGCCCCTACCCCTAGGGTTGTTTGTGAGCATTAAACGAGTTCGATGGAAACCGCTTGGTTCAGGGCCTGGCCTGACCGAAGCGCTTACGAGACCCCCTGCAGTGGGCACTGCCTAGGCTTGCTGTTCACGACAACAGCCACGACACTGCACGTGGAACAGCATCTGCTACCGTGAACGCTTGTGGCTGCCACTGCTGCTGTCGCCGTCGTCCCCAGCCCCTGCTGACGGTGACCCCGTCTGTCCCTTCCGGCCCGCACTGCAGGTGAAGGAGTCAAAGCGCCAGTTCATCTTCGACGTGGTGAACGAGGGCGGCGAGGCAGAGAAGATGGAGCTCTTCGTGAGCTTCTGCGAGGACACCATCTTCGAGATGCAGATCGCCGCGCAGATCTCGGAGCCCGAGGGCGAGCCCGAGGCGGACGAGGACGAGGGCGCGGCCGAGGCGGGCGCCGA